ATGTAGGGGTCCCCTGGCCGGTGAACACATGCCTTACCTTTGCGTGGAGTAGCGCGCCACCTTCCCGTGAAGATGTGAGGGTTCGTCCCACTTCTGACACCAAGTTGTTGGGGCCGCTGGTCCCCGGAGTCCCTCCCTGCTCCGTGCCTATGGCAGGGGCTCCGCCGTGCGCCGACCCCTCGCTGCTCTGCGAGCAGCTGCTGCCGTCGCTGGGCTCATCGCCCGACGGCTCCCCTCCCTGGTCCGTCCCTCCGCGAGCTCGTGTGAGAGGCATAGCTCGCCGCACGCCCTCGTTCACCTGCAGACGCTGCGTTGTCTCTCCACGGATCACGCGCTATTAAACGGGGGTCGGGGGCGAACGACGCTGCCCTCACACTGCGCGAGTCCCGGCGGCGACAGACGGATCGGGGACCTGCGGACGCACCGACCCCTTCACCCACACTACGAGCGCACACACCTGCACACACGCGACACCCACTCGTGCGCCGCTCTACGCAGCGCTCACTCACGTGGTGAACCACAGTGTACACACGCGCACCCACACGCTCACACTGCACGACAATATCACGCGAGACCACGCTTCGCTATTAATGATTTATCTGATACCTGGTAATTTAATGTTAAATCAGTGAGTCGACGAGGCTGGCCTACGCTGATACCTTTATACCTATTCCCGATTTATCTGCTATGATTCTAATTCACCTACTTACTTCCTGCTGGATGCCCACGGCGGTTCGTTGATCCCGTGCTCGCAGCGTACCTCGATGCGTCTCACGGACGATCGGGTCGCTGGACTGGAGAGCGTCCTGTCGCCTGGCGCTGGAGAGAAGAGCCCCCTTTCCCCTCTGCGCTCCTCTATTTATCCTCCCTACCTCAAAAGGGATGCTGCGCTGAACAATGGGCTCGTGCACCCCAAGCCCGCGCACGGCGGTTCCCCGGGCGCTGTTGATATGCTAATCAGTGAGCGACGTTGGCGGCGTACATCCTAATTACTCCCTTACCCTTCCTAACAATGGGGCCTGCGCGCTCAAGCGCAATTATCCCAACCCTCCATGACTATGCGCAACAGCCCCTGTGACCCCGCTATTCATGCTGTCCCGTGCCTCCCCTGCTTGCCCCGTCGACCCGTGGGAGTGTGTGTGGGGGGAAATGCGCCTCAACCGCGGTGGCCGAATGCCCCACGCCGCGACCACACCATATTAAGGCCGGCCGCAGCGCCGCGGTGCCACGTAGCACGGGGGAGGTCATCCAATTCCCTGATCGCCGGAAACCGTGAGAATTAATCCCGATAAGGGTCTCTCGGATTAAAACCGGTCGGTCAGGCGACCTCCCCTCGGAGCTCTATGGGGGGGGGGGAAATGAGTGCGGGTGTGTTCATGTGAGGTGAGGTGAGGGGGACGCGGGGTCGGCTCCGTTGCTTGGTGGTGGCGAGGTCGGGGATTTGGTGCCTGCCGAACGGCTTCGTGGCGGCGGCATCACACTGTCTCCGAGTTAGTCACTACAATTGTACTAATGAATTCATTGATGCCCCCTTTTGCCATTGGACACGTTTCTTTAGCACGGTGCCATATGAATATTGTCATTTTTAAGGACTTTCCTATTGTGTAATGTTACGTTACTATGAGGAGGTAGCCTATTGTTCTATTGCTCAATTTAACAACGTAACTATGGAGATTTTAATTGTACAGATCGATGAGTATGATATCTACAGGAGTACTGTTGTGGCAATTCCTATCATAAGTGTGTTAGCAAATTAGAGTGTTTTTAGATGTTAAAAGTTGCTTAACACAGACGATTCTGAGTGGTTCCTTCCTAAGTTCATGCGTAATTATCTTAATTATAACAACTGTATCCTGTGGCGAGATCTGAATCTTGAGACATAAGTATACTACATCATAATCAGTATATGTTTAAGCGAGAATCATAATCAGTAAATGTTAAAGCGAGAATAATTGTATTATCACGAATGTTAATACACCCCCAAGACAACGAAGCTGAACATCACATCATACAAACATCAATCACAAAACACATTCCTGCGGAGGGAGCTGGTAGGAACGTTGGGTTGCTCGGTCAATGGCCAGGGTCAACGGCGGCATGGTGTATTCCGCAAATATGGCCGACTGTGAGGGCGGGCACAAGCCGGCGTGAGTAGGTTAAACGTTGAGTTTTATAAGGGCACCACGGGGTGACCAGCTCCTCCCCAGCCCCATCCCTCCCGCCCCCCACCCAGCCCCACCCTCCCCACCCAGCCCCTCCCCACCCTCTCCACCCAGCCCCACCCCTCCCATTTTTGGATGCACGACGGACGGAAGGACAATAATCCCCTGTGGGTTGGTATAACCAGGGAGGTTCCTACCAGTATAACCACATACACAATACACCCCTCGACAACGAAAGAGCCTATACACATAACTACACGCACGCCTATTTATCAAAATACAGTAAAACGTTGGGTTGCGAGTAACTTGATCTGCGAGTGTTTTGCAAGACGAGCAACATTTTAAAAGAAATATTTATTTGATAAACGAGCGAGGTCTTGCAATACGAGTAGTACGTGTATACGCTTTGTCTGCAGAGCGTCACGTGATCACAACTGATAAACGAGTGCTTTGATATACGAGTGCTTTGGATTACAAACACGTTTCCGGAACAAATTATGCTCGCAATCCAAGGTTTTACTGTACAAACTAACACACACGTTAATAATAACCGCCATTCGCCACTAAGTGGTGGTGACGTCACCACGACGCTTGTGCCAGGCTATGTGCACGTTGAGGCCACGTAAAGTGTCGAACGCCCGCTGGCAGGAGGTCACGGGGCAGACCCAGGATCCACAGGTCGACTGCTGAGATGACTGGCTGATGCACCACCTGTGCCCCCCTACTGTGCCAACTTTCTGTGCTTTAGCCACCCGGTGCTCCGCTCGTTGAGAGCATCGCTCATCTGCCCTCCGTTGTTGTTGGAGGGCGGCTGCCTCCAAATTCAGAGTAGCAGTGTCCTTCACAAGCCTCCTCCACAGAGGCCGATCTTGACACCGCTGGTACCAGTCATTGGCAAGTCCACTCAGCTCCACATCCTCCTGTACCACATCACTCCATCTCTTCTCCAGCCCATGCCACGCCCGTTTAGCCCCCTCTATCCGGCCGAACAAAAGCTGTTTCGGCATGCGGTGACTGGGCATGTGGGCTTTATGACCCAGCCAATGCAGTCTTGCCTGCCGGAGGAGCTCACCGATGGGATTTTGTTCACATTTTTCAAATATTCGTGAGCTCCTCACACAATCCAGCCTGGTTAAACCCAGGATGGAGGCAGGCCAGCCTAAATGTTTCTAACCGGCAAATATGTTCCATTCATTGTTCAGAAGAGCCACTCCCTGTTGTTTGGCAGTCCCCTGCTCCGAATAGAGGACCTTCCACCCCTCATGGTGGCAGGAGCCAGAGCCGGTTCACCGGACCTCCTGAATACCACAGAGATCCAGGCGGTACCGGTCCAGCTCCCGACAGAGGAGTGGCAGCCTCTCCTCAGCAGTGAGCATTCGAACATTCCATGTGGCCATCCGAAGTGGCTTTGTGTTGTTTCTGGAGGAGCCCCGAGGGTAAGGATTCAGTCTCCTGGCTTCGCCAAATAGGGTTTGGCCAGGAGACGTCATAGATGCCTGTCCCCCTGGGGCCTCCGGCAGAAGCTTAATACGTTTTTTACATCGTAGTTTAGTGGTAATTAATTGAAGGTCGAAGGGTTACCAGCCCGTCACACCCATTTGGCCGCAGTGGTCGTTACAAACGCCATGAAGGGAAAGGCCAAACTAAATTTGCCCTCCCTCCACGGCACTGCCCACCACAGCGTTGCTGTTCGGCACCACGAAGAGGTTGTTTTTCCGGACACATTAATAATACTATACACATACATAGATCATATAAATAATTTTCACGTGATATTGTACGCAAGTTTAATCACACATGATTGATAACATTGCACTTACACTCAATTAACATAAATTAACATGAAATACACAAGTTTCATTCATTAGATTTTTTACCTAATTTGCATAAAATAATAATACAAATTAAATAAGACCTGATGCACAAAATAAATTTATTTTATTTTTATACCTACGTGACTTTATCGAAAGAACCAAAGAGTATAAAGAGAGAACAAGAGGGGGCCGAGGATGGAACCCTGTGGAACCCCTTTTGTTATCTTAACACTGTTTGACCTCATCTTAATAAAAATAAAACATAATAATTATGTTTTATTTTTATTATTTTATTCCTTCCCTTCTACGTGACTTTACCGAAAGAACCAAGAAGATGAATCCCTGCAGTCACGAAAGCTTTAAATCGAAACTGTTTGACCTGCAACCATCTTTGAATACAGTTTGGGTGCGAGAAGAGAGGTAAATTTTTTTAACAATTCTACTTGCGTTAAATTTTGATTGAAAGCTTTCGAGACTGCAGGGATTAATATTCTTGGTTCTTTCGGTAAAGTCACGTAGAAGGGAAATAATAAAATAATAGAATTATAAAACAATACATTTTTACATTTTTTAAATTCATATAAAAAATATTGTTAAATAAATGTTAAAATAATATTTATATAAATACTAAATAATTGAAATATTAAACAATAAAACATTTATTGTTTGATATTTATATTCTTTTATTATTTCCCTTCGACGTGACTTTACCGAAAGAACCATTTTTTTACAATTCTACTACGTGTTTGGAGAAATGGAGGCAACGTCCCCCAACGGTCGCCACACGTCACGTCTCTTCAACTCCCCACCCCCCACCCATTGCTCGTGACCTCATGTCTCTTCGTGCAACCGCCTAATACTTGTGACGTCACGTCCCTTCGCCCCCCCCCACCACCGGACGTGACCTAAGGTAATACGACCCACCCCCCAATGGTCGTGACGTCATCCCCCCCTTCACCGGTCGTGACGTCACGCCGGCGTTGCTTGCTCCCGTTTGCTCGCGCCAACGTCACTCGCACGCGACGGAAGGAAGCCGATGGAGAGGGAGCAGAGGGCGAAGAGAGACCCGGAGACTGTGGGGTGAGAGACCGTGGGGTAAGAGACCGTGGGGGAGAGGCCGTGGGGGAGACTGTGTGAGAGTCCGTGGGAGAGGCACCGTGGGAGAGGCCGTGGGGGAGAGGCCGTGGGGGAGACTGTGTGAGAGTCTGTGTGAGAGACCGTGGGGGAGAGTCTGTGTGAGAGGCCGTGGGGGGGAGACCGTGGGTGAGAGACCGTGGGAGAGAGACCGTGAGTAATAGAGAGAGTGAGACTGTGAGAGAGACTGAGTAATAGAGAGGGAGAGACTGTAGGGAGAGAGACTGGGAGAGAAAGACCGTGGGAGAGAGACCGTGGGAGAGAGGGAGATTGTGAGAGGGAGATTGTAAGAGGGAGATCGTGAGAGGTGAGATTGTGAACGGGAGATTGTGAGTGGGAGGTTGTGAGAGGGAGATTGTGAGTGGGAGATTTTGATAGAGAGACCGTGGGAGACATCGCGAGGGCGAAATCGCGAGTAGAGAGACCATGAGAGTTTTCTGCGTCGGATTGAAACTTGCAGGCCGGCCCTGCCTACGATCCATTGTGGGTTTAACCTGCAGGCTGAGTCGCAGTGTGAGGAGCTCACAAATACTTGAAAGATCTGGACACGGTCCCTATCTTCGGCGAGCTCCTTCAAGGCTACGTTGGCTGGGTCATGTAGCCCGCATGCCCAGCCACCGCACGCCCAAGCAGCTTCTGTTTGGCCGGATCGAGGGGGGCTAAACGGGCGCGGTACGGGCTGGAGATGAGATGGCGCTGATGCGGTACGGGAGGATGTGGAGCTGAGTGGACTTGCCGACGACTGGTACCAGCGGTGTCAAGATCGGCATCTGTGGAGGAGAAGACACGCTGCTACAGTAGAACCTTGGATCACGAACGCTTCTGACCACGACCAAATCGGGTTTCGACCAAAAAAATTCACGAAATTTTTTAATCTGGTCACGAACACAAACTCGTGTGGCGATCAAACACGGCTGTAGCCGATTTCCCCCTTAACGCCATTTTTTGTGAGCGCCAAATTTCTTGTATTTTTGCATAAATTTTGCAATTAGTGAGTACGTAAATCGCTAACATAAGAACCCGTTAATCTCTTCTCGCATCATTCATACGATGATGCGGGGAAGTTAACGTTCATACGATATTATGGTGAATGCTTCCAAAAACAATACTGTACCCAAATATTACTGTTAACTTACTTTCAATAGAAACATGAATTGCTTATTCGAATATTCTCTCTCTCAGAATCGACCGACTGATGTAGCAGACGAAACAATCATCTTGCTGAACGATTCTAAACCTTGAAGCGGCAATGTTAGTTTTCTCTGCTGTTCAAGGTTTTCTCAGTGTTATTAAATGTTTTTACATTTAGTTTACTATTGCACTGTGAATTATAATGCATGATTAACTATTTTTGTGCTTAAAATTAAATAAAAACAATATTTATATACAGTTCGTAGGAGTCTTGAACGGATTAGTCGTATTTACATACAATACAATGGGGAAATTATGTTCGAATCATGACCAAATCGGGTTGCGACCAAAGTTATGGAACGAATTATTGTCGTGACCAGAGGTTCTACTGTACTGGGCAGTTGGAGGCAGTCCCCCTCCAGCAACAGTGTAGGGCAGAGGAGCGAAACTCAAAACAACTAGCAGAGTGCTGGGCTACTAAGAGTACCAAGTTTGCACAGTAGGGGGCACAGGCGGTGTATCTGCTCGTCATCTTAGAATTAGTATTTAGACTGCAGGAGGAGGAATCTGATGAGCTATTAATCTCTTTTCCACAGATGTCCAGTATGGCCATGGGTAGTCGGCGATTTACAACAGCAAACACATGATACACACAAACACACGATACACACAAACACGATACACACGATAGGAGTGCAAGATAGAACAAAAGGTAAGCAAGTCCCGAAATGGAAATTCATTGTTTAAGTTCGATTTATCAAGATTGGGCAAGGTAGCAAAAATGACAACAGAACATTAGCTAACTGCGCTAGTTGGAGGTGCGGGGGAAGGACAACAAATTAAACACAATAAGCAATTTTAAAGAATTGAGTTAGTCAATCTAGATGATGATTTAAAAGTGCATCGTAGCTCCCAGTAGCTTCCTCATACCGGAGAGGAAGAGCGTTCCACATGTCCGCCACAAGCAGTAGCAGCATCTGAAAGCACCACGCGATGCAGCGGCGACCACTGCCTTTGTTCTACAGTTAGCAACCGGTGCCCATGGTTTCTAGCTTTACGACTTGTTTGCGATACTTCACGGGGACAGGGTGGGGTGGGGGAGATTCATTTTCGTTTGTGTGTCTCACTCTTTGCCCCAGTACCAGGACGGGGACGATGAACGTTGGAGGAGAGATGAAGATCTACTGCCCGATCTGCAACTGGGTGGTGATCAGCCTACCCGCCCTGGAGGACCACATGACGAAGCACAAGGGCCTGACCAAGTCCGTGCTGTACCAGTGCCCCCACTGCCCGTACAGCACGGACAAAGCGGCCACGCTGATCGGCCACCAGAGGAGCCATGCCGACGAGAAGCTCTACAAGTGTTGGGTGTGCGATGAAGTTTTCGCGAATTCGGAAGACTACTGCTCCCATCAGACCACGCACATCAATCGAGCGCGACGCAGGAAATCGATCGTCCCACCGCCAAGAGACGTCTCACCGGACAAGAGAATCCACGCGGGCGAGAGGCCCTACCACTGCAACGTCTGCGGGGTGGACTTCACTCAATCGCAACACCTCCTCAAACACCAGAGGATCCACACGAACGAGAAACCGTACGTCTGCACCGTGTGCGGAAAGGCGTTCGTCCGCTCGGCCAACCTCGTCATTCACACTCGGGTCCACACGGGCGAGAAGCCGTATAAGTGTGCCACGTGCGGCAAGGCATACAGCCAGTCGACGGCTCTCATCAACCACAAGAGGACCCACACGGGCGAGAAGCCCTATGGGTGCTCGGTGTGCAGGAAGCGATTTGCCCTGTTGAAGGTTCTCGTCCAACATGAGAGAACCCACACGGGCGAGAAGCCCTACGAGTGCACCACGTGCGGCAAGTCCTTCACCCAGTCGGGCACCCTGGGCATCCACAAGCGCACCCACACGGGCGAGAGACCGTACACGTGCGACGTGTGCGACAGATCGTTCACGCACTTGGGCACTCTCCACGTACACAAGAAGACGCACTCGGGTGGGAGGTCCCTCACGTGCCCCACGCGCGGGAAGGCCTCCTCTGAGGCAGGGAGTCTCCGGGCGTGCCAGCAGGCCCACGTGGATTCGAGCGAGTCGACGCCGCCGGCCCGTCCCCCACTCCTCCGCCGCCGCACCCGCAGTAGGGCCAGACTCCACGAGGGCATGACTGCCGCTGGTGAGGTCGTGGCGAGCCTCGGGGGCGAGAGTCCCGCAGCGACCCCCTCGGCAACCCCTTTGGCGACCCCTTCGGCATCGCTAACATCAGAACACGGCGAGACCCTCAGCTTCGAGACATTGCCAGGGGTTAAGGTAGAATGTGACGGTGAACATCCTCCCGCCTCCCTACCGAACATGAAGCGGGAGCGCGGCGGGTTCGCCAGCTTCGAGACGTGGTCAGGGGTGAAGGTGGAATGCGACGGTGAAGATCCTTCCGCCTCCTTACCGATCATAAAGCGGGAGCGCGGAGAGATCGCCAGCGTCGAGACGTGGCCAGGGGTGAAGGTAGAACTTGGGGGGGAGGATTTTTCAGTTCCCCTCTCGATCGTGAAGCAGGAACAGGAAGAAAGCTCTGGCTGTGAGACGTGGCTCGGGTGAAGGTGGCGCACGGGTGGCCGAGTCTCTGCTTTGGGAACGGATGTTGAGGTCTACGTGAGAAGCGTGAAGGTGAAGGCTCCAAAGCAAGCATGTCGAGTGAGAGTGAGTCCTCGACTGGGATCTTTGTTAATTTTGGTGGCGCGGGTGGAGGATGTGTACTACACAGAGGGGGCAGGTCTCTTAGAGCGGAGATTAAACACTCGAGAAGCTGACCGAGAGAGATAAATGCTGAGAAAATGTCGCGTGATACATCGGCCGTTCGAAAGCACGAGCGTGTCTGTACGACTGTGAAGGTACACAACGTGGAGGCAAATTTTTTTTGCTCTGAGAACAGATACACGTGAAGTGAAAAATACGTAGACTCTTTGTTTTATTTTACCAGGTAAGGCCCACCATTGAGCCACATAGCTATCTTTCAGAAGCTACCTGGCCATCACTAATGATACCTCAACGAATCGGCCTATCATCACGTGGACACTTATAGCAGTAAAATCCACGTGAATCACGGGGAGAGAGACACGTGCAAAGTCCAAATATATAGCAGCCTGTGTCAGAGCTGGGATTGAACCCATGACCTCCTGGATGCCAGACAAGGTAGTTAACATCTCACCACCATGTCACCCAATGGTGGAGGAGACGCCACACCAGATTTTAAAGGAACACCGATCTGGACGTGTGGGTGACGCAGCAGGCAAGGATGGATAACGTGCAACGGACTTAAACTTCGGTAAACACTCATGAGTGGGGGTTATTAACCTTCACTGCAGCCTTGCACCCTATTGGTTCTCAATCGTTACAAAATAATTATAAGTTGTCTCCTCCCTCGAGACAACAAAGGCCAAAAGATCACCCCCTCCCCTGCCTCGCCGAAACAAAAGACATCTGGAGGTTAATTATTCACAAGGTTGTCTTGGGAAAGTTGTAAAACTCGATTGACCACCACGGCATAGAAATAATCAAAAAAATAGTGAGGCAGAAAACGCCAATATGGGCTGATGAGAGCCTACACACATGACCATAGTGTGAGGATCATTCCTATTGTGCTCCGATCAAAGTCAACATCTCCGAGGGAATACTTGAGGCCGCCGCTACTTTTGAGTGTGCCCAGTACTTCGCCAACCCACAGACAAAGGATAGTGAGGGTCGTATCAGAGACTGAAGCGGAACGATATAACCTGATCTGGAGCGTGTCCACTGAACAGAGTACAGACAACTGCCACAGGATTCTCGGAAAGATGGGGAAAGACATGACTGGCGCTGTCTCTCCCAGCCGTTCCTCAGTCTGCAAGGGTCAACCGTGTCTGGTGCCAAGGGGGATGACGCGCTGCCGCCGGCGGACGAGCTATAAACGATATCTGGTGACGTGACCATCGCGCACACGACTGCAGATGGAGCTGGACCCATTGATCTCTGCCAGCACGGGCACCGCAGTCAGCGTGAGCAGCATGCCGAATCGACAACCACTCCAGCGGTGGACGTGGAGCCTGGCTGGATGCAGCCGAGTAAAATCACACGCCGTGTGCCGACATAGACCCGCCAATTCAATGCCTCTGCTGGGGATCTGAGGTATTTTCGGTAGGAGGAAACGCACCACTATCAAGCCGATGATAGCCTCTGGAGCCCAGAACCACCAATAGCAGAGATCGTACGTGGAAAAACTCAAGCCATACTACCCGCTATAATTATTGGACCTCGTGGTAACTGCTGTTGTATATGTCGGGTTATGAAATTTTTATAAAAAAATGAAGATGTGAAAAATGCGTAAATCGGGGAAAGCATGCTAATTTATGTAATTATGTGCATAAATTATACCAATTATTTCATGCAAATGTTTGCAATTATGTTAATGTGGGCAGTTATGATAATTAGGCTTAGCTTTGCTGCCCAGAGTTGTATCAATCGGGATAAAACAATTATTCTTGCTTAAACATTTAGTGATTATATCTTAGTGTGTTATGTTAGGTCTCCAAATTCATATCTCAACGCAGGATACAGTTCTTATAACAAAGATTGTTACGCATGAACTTTGGAAAGAAACACTCAAACACTTCTGTGTTAAGCAATTTTAATTCTAAATAAAAACATGTCACTCTAATATGCGAACTCTCATGCTTGGAATTGATAACACATTACTCCTAGATATGTTTTCCTTATGATCCGTGCATTTAACCCTCAGTGATTATGTTGTCAAACTGGGTAATCAGAACAATCAATTAATTCCACAGAGTAACGCGAGCATAGCCGGCGACAGGTAGAGTCTTTAAAACAGACATGCAATGATAGTCATACGAAAGGCAATAAGCAAATTATTATATCCCGAAGGCAAAGTATATGTCAATTCATTGTCAAGATTATGCAATTAGCGAAAACGAATGACTAAAATACTTCTAACAATCTTATTCATGTGACTCGACGGGCAGCAACTGCTTTTCACGATCAGTTGATATTTAATGCACCACCTTGGAATGGCAACCCTTCTCAAAACACAAAGATAACTTTTTGGAACAATCTTATTCGTCCCGATATGCGTGTTGTGTGCGTGTGTATTGTCCCCTTGATAAATTATTGTTTTAAGCAGAAGCCGGGCGCTGTGTCATGAGCTTGTGAGGTGGGGGAGGGGTATACAAACAGCGGCTTCACTCCCTGCTCCCTTGCGCGGGCGTGTCTGCAGTGAGCCGCCGGCTTTCTCTCTCCGCAGCTAGATTGAGCGGCGTCGGCACGAAGTTGTCCTTGAAGAGGCTCGGTCGCTTGGCGCTCGGTGGTGCCCGGCGATTCCGTCGTCAGATAGCGCGCGCAGCTCGTCAGCTGCGCAGGTTCCTCACTCTTGTCTTGGTTCCCAGCCGGTGCTGGTCGATGTGTGTATTAAACACGGCGCTCTCGCTGGCGCTGACACCCGTGCTCTGTGGCACCGTTTGCAGCTGTTTGTCTACTGCTGGATGACGAGTCGGCACGACGCTCGCCATCGTGGTGCGTGATGATTCCGTCGTCAGATAGCACGCACAGCTTATCCGCTGCTGGATGGTGCAGGTCGGTGTGTGGTCGAACAAACAGGGCATTCGATGGCGCTCTCCTCTTCCTCATGGGCGGCTGGTCAGGCTCTTTCCCCTGTTGGATGACGGGTCGACAGGACGCTCGTCATTTGTCCGCTGATGGCTGACATCCTTTTGTCGGTGGCGCTCGGCGCTCAGTAGCTGACGCTGACACTCTTGCGTTTCTACCCTTTCTCGCGGCTGATTGCTCGTCAGCGCAACTCTGTCGGCTCATACCGAACTCAGCCCCTAACGACCCCTCGTCCCTTCCCTCCTCGAGGCACGACACCCATGGTTGGTGTCGGTGCCTGCCGGCAAGCCTTCACGCCAACTCCCTCGCGAACCTCCCTTGCAAAACTGCGTCGCAAGCCGAGTCACAAGACTGAGCAAGACTCAAACCAGACTGAACTGCGTGATGTGCGTTTGTGCTTAAACCAAAAACGTGAAACCCCCTCCCCTCTCTGCACGTCTGTTGTGAGAAAAAAAAGAACATGCCCTCCGCGGCCTCTCCCCGCTGGCCTCTCCCAGCGGCCGCCCCCAGCGGCCGCCCTGACCCCCCACTCCCTTTGAGTGGTTGTCATCCCGAGGCCAGACCCCCTTCATACGGATTGGGCATATGGCAGTTCTGATTTCAGCAGGCCAGGATATACACGAGAGGGGGATCCAGGGGAAAGGTCTCAAAAGGTGCCCATCGGGAAGCCTTGGGAACCCGCTAGTAGGTTCCAGAAAGGGGGTGTGGCCGGGGCGGAGCGAGGCCAGAAGTGGGATCCCCATCATGCTGCTCAAGTCCATCGCCACCATTCTTCTCGTCGTCGTCTCCGTCTTCACCATCCCGGGGCGCCGCTAGTCAGACAGCCTACCAACTGTTCTAACTAAGTGCCGCTGACAATAGACGGCCTTATTAAATAGTGTGTTATCCCGGTGGCGCTTGTTAAATAAATAAGTACCTCCAAGTCTTACTGTCTCCGAGTTAGTCACTACAATTGTACTAATGAATTCATTGATGCCCCCTTTTGCCATTGGACACATGTTTCTTTAGCACGGTGCCATATGAATATTGTCATTTTTAAGGGCTTTCCTATTGTCGTGTATTGTCACGTTACTATGAGGAGTTAGCCTATTGTTCTATTGCTCAATTTAACAACGTAACTACGGAGATTTTAATTGTACAGATCGATGAGTATGATATCTACAGGAGTACTGTTGTGGCAATCCCGATCATAAGTGTGTTAGCAAATTAGAGTGTATTCAGATGTTAAAGTTGCTTAACAGACGATTCTGAGTGGTTCCTTCCTAAGTTCATGCGTAATTATAAACAAAAGCTGTTTAGGAATGTGGGCTTTATGACCCAGCCAACGCAGTCTTGCCTGTCGGAGGAGCTCACCGATGGGATTTTGTCCATATTTTTCAAAGATTTGTGAGCTCCTCATACAATCCAGCCTGGTTAAACCCAGAATGGAGGCAGGCCAGCCTAAATGTTTCTAACCAGCAAAGATGTTCCATTAGGGGGGTCCACGTTTTGCAAGCGTAGAGAAGGTAGGGAATGACCGTCGCCAAGAAGACCTGAAGCTTCGTACGGAGTGACAGACCAGGTAGCTTCCACACAGCGTTAGGCAACCGATGAAAAGATTATGCCGCTCGACTGATTCGGAGTGAGACATCTGCTGTCAAACCAGAGCCGGTCATTAGCACACTGACCAGGTATTGGAAACTCTCCACTCTCTCCACTACTGCCCCATCACGAATTGGGAGTTGTGGGGGTGGAGTGTCCGATGGTACAAATACCCCGGCAGGTGCTTCGTTTTGGTGGGACTGATGGTAAGGCCCAACCTCTTAGTGGCACGCTCCAGGTTCAGCAGCAACTGCCTCCAACTCCTCCTCTGAGTGAGCAGAAATTACCAGATCGGCATACGTAACATAGTTGAGCAATAGGGAGCCATCCCTTGACCACACCCAGGCATCGATCAGCCTCCCATTGTATGTGTACCAGATGAAAATTCCTCTGGTACAGCTATTGAAGGCTTGACGAACTACGTGGTCGAAATAGATGTTAAATAATGTGGGAGCCAGGGGACATCCCTGTCGCACCCCAAGGTGGACAGGGAATGGCTCCGACTCCTGGCCACGTAGTTTTACCCGGGCCCGCTCACCATCATGAAGGTCCTTAATGATATGAGCAGAGGGTCAGGGACTCCGTCCCCCACCTGTCGTGACGTCACAACTCGTGCCCTCACCCTACCAGTCCTGACGTCACGTCTGTTCGTTTCAGTTTCATTTATTAGGTATAACCCTGTGAGCCATGCGGCTCTTGACTCGGGTGCAACCGCAACAAAACAAAAACATGAACAAGAAACATCTTAAAGTGACTACACGCAACAGAAAAATCCAGGAAAAAACAGCAAATTCTTCCAGAAAAAACACCGTATTTCAACGCTGTGTGCAAAAATTCCAGTGGGATGCAAGTCAAACACTAATAACCATAAGACAATGTAGATTAAAGTTATCAGGCCAACTCTGTACTACAACAAACAAACATGGCTAAACCAAAACGTTTTCAAAATCACCAAAATAAAGCTATAAAAAAGTAACAGTGATTATAGGAACTGTTATTCAAGTTTAATAATAAACGATATACATAACATGTACAACCAAACTTTGCAGCCATAGCTGGCAGCATGAGTCACTCCATAACAGCAGGAGTATCAGTAGCTGAATCAAAATATTTCACTACACCTTTAAAGATCAACACACTATAATCAAAACTCAAGATCATACTTTGCAGAAGTCATCCGGAACGATTAATTTGATTTCAGGCCATTCTGAATAGCAGTGGCAGCTAGGGGTATACAATTCCTCTAGAGCAGTTTTGAGTGAAGATCTCACAGGTAGTGATTCAAGATGCAGTTTATTGCAACTTGGATCACTATTGCTCGTGACCTCATGTCTCTTTGTCCAAACGCCAACCGATTTTGACGTCACGTCCATTCGCCCCTCCCCACACCACCGGTCGCAACGTCATGTTTATACGCCCCCCCCCCCCCCAAAGGTCAAGACGTCACGTCCCTTCGTCATCTATCGGTCGTGACGTCATCCCCCCCCCCAACGGTCGTGACGTCACGCCGGCCTTGCTTGTTCCCGTTTTGCTCGCGCCAACGTCACTCGCACGCGACGGAAGGAAGCCGACGGAGAGGGAGCAGAGGGCGAAGAGAGACCCGGAGACTTTGGGGTGGGAGCAGAGGTGTGGACTCGAGTCATGTGACTTGGACTCGAGTCAGACTCGAGTCATGAATTTGATGACTTCAGACTCGACTTGGACTTGCATAACAATGACTTTGTCCCACCTCTGAGATGTGGACTCGAGTCATGTGACTTGGACTCGAGTCAGACTCGAGTCATGAATTTGATGACTTCAGACTCGACTTGGACTTGCATAACAATGACTTTGTCCCACCTCTGGGTGAGAGGCCGTGGGGGAGAGGCCGTGGGTGAGAGGCCGTGGGGGAGAGGCCGTGGGTGAGAGGCCGTGGGGGAGAGGCCGTGGGGGAGAGGCCGTGGGTGAGAGGCCGTGGGTGAGAGGCCGTGGGTGAGAGGCCGTGGGTGAGAGGCCGTGGGGGAGAGGCCGTGGGGGAGAGGCCGTGAGAGACCGTGGGGGGGGGGGGGGGGGTGGAGGCCGTGGGGGAGAGACCGTGGGTGAGAGGCCGTGGTGGGGGGGGGGGGGAGACCGTGGGAGGTGGGGCAGATTGTGAGTGGGAGATTGTGAGAGGGATATTGTGAGAGGGAGATCGTGAGAGGGAGATCGTGAGTGAGAGATCGTGAGTGGGAGATCGTGAGAGGGAGATCGTGAGTGAGAGATCGTGAGTGAGAGATCGTGAGTGGGAGATCGTGAGTGAGAGATCGTGAGTGAGAGATCGTGAGTGGGAGATCGTGAGTGGGAGATCGTGAGTGGGAGATCGTGAGAGGGAGATCGTGAGTGGGAGATCGTGAGAGGGAGGTCGTGAGGGGGAGGTCGTGAGTGGGAGATCGTGAGTGGGAGACATCGCGAGGGCGAAATCGCGAGTAGAGAGACCATGAGAGATTTCTGCGCCGGTTTGAAACTTGCAGGCCGGCCCTGCCTACAATCCATGGTGGCTTTAACCTGCAGGCTGAGTCGCAGTATGAGGAGCTCACAAATACTTGAAAGATCTGGACACGGTCCCTGTCTTCGGCGAGCTCCTCCAAGGCTACCACTTTCTCTGGGTCATGTAGCCCGCATGCCCAGCCACTGCACGCCCAAGCAGCTTCTGTTTGGCCCGATAGGGAAGGGCTAAACGGGCGCGGTACGGGCTAGAGAAGAGATGGAGTGATGTGGTACAGGAGGATGTGGAGCTGAGTGGACTTGCCGATGACTGGCACCAGTGGTGTCAAGATCGGCCTCTGTGGAGGAGGAGGCTCGTGAAGGACGCTGCTACTGGGCAGTTGGAGGCAGTTGCCCTCCAGCAACAATGCAGGGCAGAGGAGCGACGCAACAACGAGCAGAGCGCCGGGCGACTAAAACGCACCAAGTTTGCACAGTAGAGGGCACAGGTGGTGGTGCATCTGCCAGTCATCTCAGTCAGAATCAGAATGTTTATTTAGACTGCAGGAGGATGAATCCGATGAGCTATTAATGTCTTTTCCACAGATGTCCAGTATGGGCATGGGGAGTCAGCGATTTACAACGGCAAACACACGATACACACAAACACACGATACACACAAACACACGATAGGAGTGGAAAGTAGAACAACAGGTAAGCAAGTCCCGAAATGGAAATTATTGTTTAAGTTCGATTTATCAAGATTGGGCGAGGCAGCAAAAATAGCAACAGAGCAGTTGTCAACTGCGCTAGTCGGAGGTGCGGGGGAAGGACAACACAACAACAAGCAGCAGTTCTAAACAATTGAGTTTTTCAATCTAGATCAGGGGTGGGGAACGTCCGGCCCGTGGGCTGTATAAGGCCCGCGAAATCATTTGGTCTGCTGGCCCTGCCAAGGCAACCACACGCAGGACTCGAAATTCAATAAATCCAGGAGCAAACCTGGAAAAGCAGTTGCGAGTAGCAGTAACATCATCGATACCAGATAACATCACCACGCCAGCCATCACATTAGGGGTGAGTTAATTAAATGTTTGATGATTTTGTATGGCCCGCGAATGATGTTATAAATATCCGAATGGCCCTTGGCGGTTAAGGTTCCCCACCCCTGATCTAGATGATGATTTAAAAGTGCATCGTAGCTCCCAGTGGCTTCCTCATACCAGAGAGGAGGAGCGTTCCACACGTCCGCCACAAGCAGCAGCAGCATCTGAAAGCACGATGTGACACAGCGTCGACCACTGCCTTTGTTTTACATTTGCACGCCTTGTTTGCGATACTTCACAGGGGCGGGGTGGGGGAGATTCATTTTTCTTCATGTGCTTCACTCTTTGCCTCAGTTCCAGGACGGGAACGATGAACGAGGGAGGAGAGATGAAGATCTACTGCCCGGTCTGCAACTGGGTGGTGGTCAGCCTGCCTGCCCTGGAGGACCACATGAAGCAGCACAGGGGTCGGACCGAGCCCGTGCTGTACCAGTGCCCCCACTGCCCATACAGCACGGACAAAGTGGCCACTCTGATCGGCCACCAGAGGAGCCACGCCGACGAGATGCTCCACAAGTGCTGGGTGTGCGATGAAGTTTTTGCAAATTCGGAAGACTACTGCTCCCATCAGACCACGCACATCAATCGAGCGCTACGCAGGAAGTCGATCGTCCCACCGCCAAAAGACGTCTCACCGGACAAGAGAATTCGCGCGGGGGAGAGGCCCTACCACTGCAACGTCTGCGGGGTGGACTTCACTCGGTCGCACTACCTCCTCATACACCAGAGAATCCACACTAACGAGAAGCGATACGTGTGCACCGTGTGCGGAAAAGCGTTCGTGCGCTCGGCCAACCTCGATAACCACACTCGGATCCACACGGGCGAGATGCCGTACAAGTGCGCCACGTGCGGCAAGGTATACAGCCAGTCGACGGCTCTCATCAATCACAAGAGGACCCACACGCGCGAGAAGCCCTATGGGTGCTCGGTGTGCGGGAGGCGATTTACCCTGTTGAAGGTTCTCGTCCAACATGAGAGAACCCACACGGGCGAGAAGCCCTACGAGTGCACCACGTGCGGCAAGTCCTTCACCCAGTCGGCCACCCTGGGCAACCACAAGCGCATCCACACGGGCGAGAGACCGTACACGTGCGACGTGTGCGACAGGTCGTTCACGCACTTGGGCACTCTCCACGTACACAAGAAGACGCACTCGGGTGGGAGGTCCCTCACGTGCCCCACGCGCGGGAAGGCCTCCTCTGAGGCAGGGAGTCTCCGGGCGTGCCGGCAGGCCCGCGCGGGTTCGAGCGAGTCGACGTCGCCGGCCCGTCCCCCCCTTCTCCGCCGCCGCACCCGCAGTAGGGCCAGACTCCACGAGGGCATGACTGCCGCTGGGGAGGTCGTGGCGAGCCTCGGGGGCGAGGGTCCCGCAGCGACCCCCTCGGCAACCCCTTTGGCGACCCCCTCGGCATCGCTAACATCAGAACACGGCGAGACCCTCAGCTTCGAGACATTGCCAGGGGTTAAGGTAGAATGTGACGGTGAAGATCCTCCCGCCTCCCTACCGAACATGAAGCGGGAGCGCCGAGGGATCGCCAGCTTCGAGACGTGGTCAGGGGTGAAGGTGGAATGCGACGGTGAAGATCCTTCCGCCTCCTTACCGATCATAAAGCGGGAGCGCGGAGAGATCGCCAGCGTCGAGACGTGGCCAGGGGTGAAGGTAGAACTTGGGGGGGAGGATTTTTCAGTTCCCCTCTCGATCGTGAAGCAGGAACGGAAAGAAAGCCCCGGCTGTGAGACGCGGCTGGGGTGAAGGTGGCGCACGGGTGCCCGAGTCTCTGCTTTGGGAACGGATGTTGAGGTCTACGTGGGAAGCGTGAAGGTGAAGGCTCCAAAGCAAGCATGTCGAGTGAGAGCGAGTCCTCGACTGGGACCTTTGTTAATTTTGGTGGCGCGGGTGGAGGATGTGTACTACACAGAGGGGGCAGGTCTCTTAGAGCGGAGATTAAACACTCGAGAAGCTGACCGAGAGAGATAAATGCTGAGAAAATGTCGTGTGATACATCGGCCGTTCGAAAGCATGAGCGTGTCTGTACGACTGTGAAGGTACACAACGTGGAGGCAATTTTTTTTGCTCTGAGAACAGATACACGTGCAGTGAAAAATACGTAGACTCTTTGTTTTATTTTACCAGGTAAGGCCCACCACTGAGCCACATAGCTATCTTTCAGAAGCTACCTGGCCATCACAAATGTTACCTCAACGAATCGGCCTATCATCACGTGGCACTTATAGCAGTAGCCACATGCTCTCTAAACGCCCGGTGATGTTGATTGTAAATGTCGGGGGGGGGGGGGGGGTTGGGGAAACTGGAGGACCCGGAGAAAAATCCACGTTAATCACGGGGAGAGAGACGTGCAAAGTCCAAATATATAGCAGCCCGTGTCAGAGCTGGGATTGAACCCATGATCTCCTGGATGCCAGACGAGGTAGTTAACATTTCACCACCATGTCACCTAACGGTGGAGGAGACGCCACACCAGATTTTAAAGGAACACCGATCTGGACGTGTGGGTGACGCAGCAGGCAAGGATGGATAACGTGCAACGGACTTAAACTTCGGTAAACACTCTTGAGTGGTGGTTATTAACCTTCACTGTAGCCTTGGTTCTCAATCGTTACAAAATAATTATAAGTTGTCTCCTCCCTCGAGACAACAAAGGCCAAAAGATCACCCCCTCCCCTGCCTCGCCGAAACAAAAGACATCTGGAGGTTAATTATTCACAAGGTTGTCTTGGGAAAGTTGTAAAACTCGATTGACCACCACGGCATAGAAATAATCAAAAAAATAGTGAGGCAGAAAACGCCAATATGGGCTGATGAGAGCCTACACACATGACCATAGTGTGAGGATCATTCCTATTGTGCTCCGATCAAAGTCAACATCTCCGAGGGAATACTTGAGGCCGCCGCTACTCTTGAGTGTGCCCAGTACTTCGCCAACCCACAGACAAAGGATAGTGAGGGTCGTATCAGAGACTGAAGCGGAACGATATAACCTGATCTGGAGCGTGTCCACTGAACAGAGTACAGACAACTGCCACGAGGATTCTCGGAAAGATGGGGAAAGACATGACGGGCGCTGTCTCTCCCAGCCGTTCCTCAGTCTGCAAGGGTCAACCGTGTCTGGTGCAAAGGGGGATGACGCGCTGCCGCCGGCGGACGAGCTATAAACGATATCTGGTGACGTGATCATCGCGCACACGACTGCAGACGGAGCTGGACCCATTGATCTCTGCCAGCACGGGCACCGCAGTCAGCGTGAGCAGCATGCTGACTCGACAACCACTCCAGCGGTGGACGTGGAGCCTGGCTGGATGCAGCCGAGTAAAATCACACGCCGTGTGCCGACATAGACCCGCCGATTCAATGCCTCTGCTGGGGACCTGAGGTATTTTCGGTAGGAGGAAACGCACCACTATCAAGCCAATGACAGCCTCTGGAGCCCAGAACCACCAATAGAGATTGTACGTGGACAAACTCAAGCCATACTACCCGCTATAATTATTGGACCTCGTGGTAACTGCTGTTGTATATGTCGGGTTATGAAATTTTGATTAAAAAAAATGAAGATGTGAAAAATGCGTAAATCGTGGGAAGCATGCTAATTTATGTAATTATGTGCATAAATTATACCAATTATTTCATGCAAATGTTTGCGATTATGTTAATGTGGGCCGTTATGATAATTAGGCTTAGCTTTGCTGCCCAGAGTTGTATCAATCGGGATAAAACAATTATTCTTGCTTAAACATTTATTGATTATATCTTAGTGTGTTATGTTAGGTCTCCAAATTCATATCTCAACGCAGGATACAGTTCTTATAACGAAGATTGTTATGCATGAACTTAGGAAAGAAACACTCAAACACTTCTGTGTTAAGCAATTTTAATTCTAAATAAAAACATGTCACTCTAATATGCGAACTCTCATGCTTGGAATTGTTAACACATTACTCCTGGATATGTTTTCCTTATGATCCGTGCATTTAACCCTCAGTGATTATATTGTCAAACTGGGTAATCAGAACAATCAATTAATTCCACAGAGAAACGCGAGCATATCCGGCAACAGGTAGAGTCTTTAAAACAGGCATGCAATGATATATCCCAAAGGCAAAGTTTCTGTGAATTCATTGTCAAGATTATGCAATTAGCGAAAACGAATGACTAAAATACTTCTAACAATCTTATTCATGTAACTCGACGGGCAGCAACTGCTTTTCACGATCAGTTGATATTTAACGCACCACCTTGGAATGGCAACCCTTCTCAAAACACAAAGATAACTTTTTGGAACAATCTTGTTCGTCCCGATATGCGTGTTGTGTGCGTGTGTATTGTCCCCTTGATAAATTATTGTTTTAAGCAGAAGCCGGGCGCTGTGTCATGAGCTTGTGAGGTGGGGGAGGGGTATACAAACAGCGGCTTCACTCCCTGCTCCCTCGCGCGGGCGTGTCTGCAGTGAGCCACCGGCTTTCTCTCTCCACAGCTAGATTGAGCGGCGTCGGCACGAAGTTGTCCTTGAAGAGGCTCGGTCGCTTGGCGCTCGGTGGTGCCCGGCGATTCCGTCGTCAGCGCGCGCAGCTCGTCAGCTGCGAAGGTTCCTCACTCTTGTCTTGGTTCCCAGCCGGTGCTGGTCAATGTGTGTGTGTATTAAACACACGGCGCTCTCGCTGGCGCTGACACCCGTGCTCTGTGGCGCCGTTTGCAGCTGTTTGTCCGCTGCTGGATGATGAGTCGGCACGACGCTCACCGTCGTGGTGCGTGATGATTCCGTCGTCAGATAGCACGCACAGCTCATCCGCTGCTGGATGGTGCAGGTCGGTGTGTGGTCGAACACACGGCGCATTCGATGGCGCTCTCCTCTTTCTCACGGGCGGCTGGTCAGGCTCTTTCCCCTGTTGGATGACGGGTCGACAGGACGCTCGTCACTTGTCCGCTGATGGCTGACACCCTTTTGTCGGTGGCGCTCGGTGGCGCTGACACTCTTGCGTTTCTACCCTTCCTCGCGGCTGATTGCTCGTCAGCGCAACTCTGTCGGCTCATACCGAACTCAGCCCCTAACGACCCCTCGTCCCTTCCCTCCTCGAGGCACGACACCCATGGTTGGTGTCGGTGCTTGCCAGCAAGCCTTCGCCCCAACTCCCTCGCGAACCTCCCTTCGCAAAACTGCGTCGCAAGCCGAGTCACAAGACTGCAAGACTCAAACCTGACTGAACTGCGTGATGTGCGTTTGTGCTTAAACCAAAAACGTGAAACCCCCTCCCCTCTCTGCACGTCTCTTGCGAGAGAAAAACAAAAAAAACATGCCCTCCGCGGCCTCTCTCCGCGGCCTCTCCCAGCGGCCGCCCTGACCCCCCACTCCCTTTGAGTGGTTGTCATCCCGAGGCCAGACCCCCTTCATACGATTGGGCATATGGCAGTTCTGACGTCAGCAGGCCAGGATATACACGAGAGGGGGATCCAGGGGAAAGGTCTCAGAAGGTGCCCATCGGGAAGCCTTGGGAACTCGCTAGTAGGTTCCAGAAAGGGGGTGTGGCCGGGGTGGAGCGAGGCCAGAAGTGGGATCCCCATCATGCTGCTCAAGTCCATCGCCACCATTCTTTTCGTCGTCGTCTCCGTCTTCACCATCCCGGGGCGCCTCGAGTCAGACAGCCTACCAACTGTTCTAACTAAGTAGTGCCGCTGACAATAGACGGCCTTATTAAATAGTGTGTTATCCCGGTGGCGCTTGTTAAATAAAGAAGTGCCTCCAAGTCTTACTGTCTCCGAGTTAGTCACTACAATTGTACTAATGAATTCATTGATGCCCCCTTTTGCCATTGGACACATGTTTCTTTAGCACGGTGCCATATGAATATTGTCATTTTTAAGGGCTTTCCTATTGTCGTGTATTGTCACGTTACTATGAGGAGTTAGCCTATTGTTCTATTGCTCAATTTAACAACGTAACTACGGAGATTTTAATTGTACAGATCGATGAGTGATATCTACAGGAGTACTGTTGTGGCAATTCCGATCATAAGTGTGTTAGCAAATTAGAGTGTTTTTAGATGTTAAAGTTGTTTAACACAGACGATTCTGAGTGGTTCCTTCCTAAGTTCACGCGTAATTATAAACAAAAGCTGTTTAGGAATGTGGGCTTTATGACCCAGCCAACGCAGTCTTGCCTGCCGGAGCTCACCGATGGGATTTTGTCCATATTTTTCAAAGATTTGTGAGCTCCTCACACAATCCAGCCTGGGTAAACCCAGAATGGAGGCAGGCCAGCCTAAATGTTTCTAACCGGCAAAGATGTTCCATTAGGGGGGTCCACGTTTTGCAAGAGTAGAGAAGGTAGGGAATGACCGTCGCCGAGAAGACCTGAAGCTTCGTGCGGAGTGACAGACCAGGTAGCTTCCACACAGCGTTAGGCAACCGATGAAAAGATTATGCCGCTCGACTGATTCGGAGTGAGACATCTGCTGCCAAACCAGAGCTGGTCATGAGCACACTGACCAGGTATTGGAAACTCTCCACTCTCTCCTCTACTGCCCCATCACGAATTGGGAGTTGTGGGGGTGGAGTGTCCGATGGTACAAAATACCCTGGCAGGTGCTTCGTTTTGGTGGGACTGATGGTAAGGCCAAACCTCTTAGTGGCACACTCCAGGTTCAGCAGCAGCGCCTCCAACTCCTCCTCTTGAGTGAGCAGAAATTACCAGATCATCGGCATACGTAACATAGTTGAGCAATAGGGAGCCATCCCTTGACCACACCCAGGCATCGATCAGCCTCCCATTGTATCTGTACCAGATGAAAATTCCTCTGGTACAGATATTGAAGGCTTCACGAACTACGTGGTCGAAATAGATGTTAAATAATGTGGGAGCCAGGGGACATCCCTGTCGCACCCCAAGGTGTACAGGGAATGGCTCCGACTCCTGGCCACGTAGTTTTACCCAGGGCCCGCTCACCATCATGAAGGTCCTTAATGATATGAGCAGAGGGTCAGGGACTCCGACAGCATGAAGAACAACCCAGAGCCCAGGCCTACTGATGGTATCATAGGCCTTGACCAGGTCAATAAAGCAGAGATGTAGGTCTTGTGGTAATTTCTTACACCTCTGCTGTAGCAGACGGACAGAAAATATGGCATCTGTGCAGGACCGCCCTTTCCTGAAACCACATTGGGGCTCCGCAAGCATCTCCTCAGCATGCCTGGCAAGGCGATGTTGAATAATCCTTGCCAGGACCTTTCCCGGCACACTGAGGAGTGAGATGCCCTTGTAGTTGTTACAGTCTGTGCGGTCCCCCTTCTTAAAGAGGGGGACCACCAGGGCATCCAATCCTGCAGAACCCTGTCCAGTGGTCCAGACTGTTGTTATGATGTCATGTAGGGCAGTCTGTGCACAAACGCCACCCTCCCTCAGCATTTCGCTTTGGAGATCGTCTCTGCCCGGTGCCTTTCCTGGTCTCAGGCTCTTGATCGCCTTCAGTACTTCCTCAACAGATGGCACCTCAGCCAGCCACTCACAGGGGGTGACTTCTTTCCATATTTGAGGTACCACAGCCTCAGCAGGCTCATCCCCACTTTGTGCCATGATGTTTTCCAGGATGAGGGATTTCCCCTCCCCCAGGACCTCACAGAAATGCTCAGCAAATCTGTAAACCTGTTCCTGGGAGTCAGAGATTGGATCACCGTTCTTTCCCCTAATGATGGCAATAGGTGTGGCGCTGCAGATTACTTTTTTGATGGAATTTAAGAGCGATTTGTGATCACGGGCCATTGAGGCTGACTCCATCTCCTCAGCAATCCACGACCACCAACCATCCTTGCAGTGCCTCATGGCTCTCCGAACCTCCGAGCGAAGGTTGCGGTAAGCCTCATTCTCTGACGTGGGATGCTGTAGACGATGAGAATGGGCCTTTCACTTTTTCTCAGCCAGCCTGAACACCTCCTCTGTCAGCCATGTACCCAAAGCAGCCATTGCAGCTGCATGAGCCACAGTCCTAAACCTCGCCCATTACCCCTCGACATCAGGAGTGGGGGACGATGCCAACCCCAGCATGGTCTCAGCTAGCTGAGACCATGCCACTATGGGTTGGAATGGGATTCTGGGTGTACACCCACCACCCGAGTGGAAGAATGGCAGGTGCATCTTACAGATGACAAGTCTATGGTCAGTGGGCAGATCAGCTCCACAGTAGGTCCTGGTGTCAAAGACATGAGCCCGCATCCACTGTTCCGTCACTATGTAGTCCAGCAGATGTTCTTGCTTGGACCCGGCATGCATCCATGATGTGTGGATGTGCCGATGCTGTAACAGCGTGTTGGTAATTACAAGTCCATGGTCTGCACAAAAATCGAACAGCCTCCTACCATTGTTGTTGAGCTGATCTGGCCCATGTCTTCCAATCACTCCAGACCAGGTGCTAGCATCATGACCAACTCGGGCATTGAAGTCACCCAACAAGATAAATATCCCGAGGGGCCACTTTAGCCAGCACCTGTGACAGGAGGTCATAGAAGGATCAAGTTCAAGTTCATTTATTAGGTATAGCCCTGTAAGCCATTCCGCTCTTGACTCGGGTGCAACCGCAACAAAACAAAAACATGAACAAGAAACATCTTAAAGTGACTACACTATTGCTCGTGACCTCATGTCTCTTCGTCCAACCGCCAACCGATTTTGACGTCACGTCCATTCGCCCCTCCCCACACCACCGGTCGCAACGTCATGTTTATACGCCCCCCCCCCCCCAAAGGTCAAGACGTCACGTCCCTTCGTCATCTATCGGTCGTGACGTCTCCCCCCCCCCCAAAGGTCGTGACGTCACGCCGGCCTTGCTTGTTCCCGTTTTGCTCGCGCCAACGTCACTCGCACGCGACGGAAGGAAGCCGACGGAGAGGGAGCAGAGGGCGAAGAGAGACCCGGAGACTGTGGGGTGAGAGGCCGTGGGTGAGAGGCCGTGGGGGAGACTGTGTGAGAGTCCGTGGGAGAGGCACCGTGGGAGAGGCCGTGGGGGAGAGGCCGTGGGGGAGAGGCCGTGGGGGAGACTGTGAGAGTCTGTGTGAGAGGCCGTGGGAGAGAGACCGTGGGAGAGAGACCGTGGGTGAGAGGCCGTGGGGTGAGAGACCGTGGGGGAGAGACCGTGGGAGGTGGGACAGATTGTGAGTGATCGTGGGAGACTGTGAGAGAGAGGGAGATTGTGAGAGGGAGATTGTGAGAGGGAGATTGTGAGAGGGAGATTGTGAGTGGGAGATTGTGAGTGGGAGATCGTGAGTGAGAGATCGTGAGTGGGAGATCGTGAGAGGGAGATCGTGAGTGGGAGATTGTGAGTGGGAGATCGTGAGTGGGAGATCGTGAGAGGGAGATTGTGAGTGGGAGATTGTGAGTGAGAGATCGTGAGTGAGAGATCGTGAGTGGGAGATCGTGAGTGGGAGACATCGCGAGGGCGAAATCGCGAGTAGAGAGACCATGAGAGATTTCTGCGCCGGTTTGAAACTTGCAGGCCGGCCCTGCCTACAACCCATGGTGGCTTTAACCTGCAGGCTGAGTCGCAGTATGAGGAGCTCACATACTTGAAAGATCTGGACACGGTCCCTGTCTTCGGCGAGCTCCTCCAAGGCTACCACTTTCTCGGGGTCATGTAGCCCACATGCCCAGCCACCGCACGCCCAAGCAGCTTATGTTTGGCCCGATAGGGGAGGGCTAAACGGGCGCGGTATGGGCTAGAGAAGAGATGGAGTGATGTGGTACAGGAGGATGTGGAGCTAAGTGGACTTGCCGATGACTGGCACCAGTGGTGTCAAGATCGGCCTCTGTGGAGGAGGAGGCGCGTGAAGGACGCTGCTACTGGGCAGTTGGAGGCAGTTGCCCTCCAGCAACAATGCAGGGCAGAGGAGCGACACAACAACGAGCAGAGCGCTGGGCGACTAAAACGCACCAAGTTTGCACAGTAGAGGGCACAGGTGGTGGTGCATCTCCCAGTCATCTCAGTCAGAATCAGAATGTTTATTTAGACTGCAGGAGGAGGAATCCGATGAGCTATTAATCTCTTTTCCACAGATGTCCAGTATGTGCATGGGGAGTCAGCGATTTACAACGGCAAACACACGATACACACAAACACACGATAGGAGTGCATAGTAGAACAACAGGTAAGCAAGTCCCGAAATGGAAATTATTGTTTAAGTTCGATTTATCAAGATTGGGCGAGGCAGCAAAAATAGCAACAGAGCAGTTGTCAACTGCGCTAGTCGGAGGTGCGGGGGAAGGACAACACAACAACAAGCAGCAGTTCTAAACAATTGAGTTTTTCAATCTAGATCAGGGGTGGGGAACGTCCGGCCCGTGGGCTGTATAAGGCCCGCAAAATCATTTGGTCTGCTGGCCCTGCCAAGGCAACCACACGCAGGACTCGAAATTAAATAAATCCAGGAGCAAACCTGGAAAAGCAGTTGCGAGTAGCAGCAACATCATCGATACGAGATAACATCACCACGCCAGCCATCACATTAGGTGTGAGTTAATTAAATGTTTGATGATTTTGTATGGCCCGCGAATGATGTTATAAATATCCCAATGGCCCTTGGCAGAAAAAAGTTTCCCCACCCCTGATCTAGATGATGATTTAAAATTGCATCGTAGCTCCCAGTGGCTTCCTCATACCAGAGAGGAAGAGCGTTCCAAACGTCCGCCATAAGCAGCAGCAGCATCTGAAAGCACGATGTGACACAGCGTCGACCACTGCCTTTGTTTTACATTTGCATGCCTTATTTGTGATACTTCACAGGGGCGGGGTGGGGGAGATTAATTTTTCTTTGTGTGCCTCACTCTTTGCCCCAGTTCCAGGACGGGAATGATGAACGAGGGAGGAGAGATGAAGATCTACTGCCCGGTTTGCAACTGGGTGGTGGTCAGCCTGCCTGCCCTGGAGGACCACATGAAGCAGCACAGGGGTCGGACCGAGCCCGTGCTGTACCAGTGCGCCCACTGCCCGTACAGCACGGACAAAGCGGCCACTCTGATCGGCCACCAGAGGAGCCACGCCGACGAGATGCTCCACAAGTGCTGGGTGTGCGATGAAGTTTTTTCTAATTCGGAAGACTACTGCTCCCATCAGACCACGCACATCAATCGAGCGCGACGCAGGAAGTCGATCGTCCCACCACCAAAAGACGTCTCACCGGACAAGAGAATCCGCGCGGGCGAGAGGCCCTACCACTGCAACGTCTGCGGGGTGGACTTTACTCAGTCGCACCACCTCCTCAAACACCAGAGGATCCACACTAACGAGAAGCCATACGTGTGCACCGTGTGCGGAAAAGCGTTTGTCCGCTCGGCCAACCTCGTTACCCACACTCGGGTCCACACGGGCGAGAAGCCGTACAAGTGTGCCACGTGCGGCAAGGCATACAGCCAGTCGACGGCTCTCATCAACCACAAGAGGACCCACACCGGCGAGAAGCCCTATGTGTGCTCGGTGTGCGGGAAGCGATTTACCCTGTTAAAGGTTCTCGTCCCACATGAGAGGACCCACACGGGCGAGAGGCCCTACGAGTGCACCACGTGCGGCAAGTCCTTCACCCAGTCAGGCACCCTGGGCATCCACAAGCGCACCCACACGGGCGAGAGACCATACACGTGCGACGTGTGCGACAGATCGTTCACGCACTTGGGCACCCTCCACGTACACAAGAAGACGCACGCGGGCGGGAGGTCCCTCACGTGCCCCACGCGCGGGAAGGCCTCCTCCGAGGCGGGGGGCCTCCGGGCGTGCCGGCAGGCCAGCGCGGGCTCCAGCACGTCGACGCCGCCGGCTCGTACCCCGCTCCTCCGCCGCTGCGCCCGCGGGAGGGCCGGGCTCCACAAGGGTGGGACTGCCGCTGGGGAGGTCGTGGCGAGCCTCGGGAGTGAGGGTCTCATGGCAACCGACTCGGCAACCCCCTCGGTGACCCCCTCGGCATCGCTAACATCAGAACACGGAGAGACCTTCAGCTTCGAGACATTGCCAGGGGTCAAGGTAGAATGCGACGGTGAAGATCCTTCCGCCTCCCTATCGAACATGAAGCGGGAGTGCGGAGGGATCGCCAGCTTTGAGACGTGGTCAGGGGTCAAGGTGGAATGCGACGGTGAAGATCCTACTGCCTCCCTACCGATCGTGAAGCGGGAGCACGGAGAGATCGCCAGCGTCGAAACGTGGCCAGGGGTGAAGGTAGAACTTGGGGGGGAGGATTTTTTAGCTCCCCTCTCGATCGTGAAGCAGGAACGGGAAGAAAGCCCCGGCTGTGAGACGCGGCTGGGGTGAAGGTGGCACACGGGTGGCCGACTCTCTGCTTTGGGAACGGATGTTGAGGTCTACGTGGGAAGTGTGAAGGAGAAGGCTCCAAAGCGAGCATGTCGAGTGAGAGCGAGTCCTCGACTGTTAATTTTGGTGGCGTGGGTGGAGGATGTGTACTACACAGAGGGGGCAGGTCTCTTAGAGTGGAGATTAAACACTCGACAAGCTGACCGAGAGAAATTGCCGCGCGATACATTGGCCGTTCGAAAGCACGAGCGCGTCTGTACGACTGTGATGGTACACAACGTGGAGGGAATATTTTTTGCTCTGAGAACAGATACACTTGAAGTGAAAACTACGTAGACTCTTTGTTTTATTTTACCAGGTAAGGCCCACCACTGAGCCACGTAGCTCTTTTTAGAAGCGACTTGGCCATCACAAATGATACCTCAACGAAGCGGCCTATCATCACGTGGATACTTATAGCAGTAGCCACATGCTCTCTAAACGCTTGGTGATGTTGATTCTAAATGTCTCGGGGGCGGGACGGGGGGAAACCAGAGGACCCGGAGAAAATCCACGTGAATCACGATGAGAGAGACGCGTGCAAAGTTCAAATATATAGCAGCCCGTGTCAGAGCTGGTATTGAACCCACGACATCCTGTATGCCAGACGAGGTAGTTAACATCTCGCCACCATGTCACCAAATGGTGGAGGAAACGTCAAACCAGATTTTAAAGGAGCACCTTTTCCCGACCTTTGCCAATCTGCTGGACGTGTGGGCGACGCAACAGGCAAGGATGGCTAACGTGCAACGGACTTTAAACTTCGGTAAACACTCTTGAGCGGTGGTTATTAACCTTCACTGCAGCCTTGCACCCCATTGGTTCTCAATCGTTACAGAAAATGTAGAAGTGTGTCTCCTCCCTCGAGACAACAAAGGCCAAAGGAGCATCTCCCCCCTTGCCTCGCCCAAACAAAAGACATCTGGAGGTTAATTATTCACAAGCTTGTCTTGGGAAATTTCGATTTAAAGCTTTCGTGACTGCAGGGATTCCTCTTCTTGGTTCTTTCGGTAAAGTCACGTAGAATGGAAATAATAAAATAATAAAAATAAAACATAAAATAATTCTCACGATGTTTCGGCCACAACGCAAGCAGCCGTCCTCAGGTGAAGAACAGGTATGTCGGAAAAACAGTGTCTGAATGACAGACCTGTTCTTCACCTGAGGACGGCTGCTTGCGTTGTGGCCGAAACGTCGTGAGAATTATTTTATTGTTTTATTTTTATTATTTTGTTATTTCCATTCTACATGACTTTACCGAAAGAACCAAGAAGTTGTCTTGGGAAAGTTGTAAAACTGGATTGACCACCACGTCATAGAAATAATAATAAAACAAACTTGATTTGAAGCTTTCGTGACTGCAGGAATTATTCTTTGGTTCTTTCGGTAAAGTCACGTAGAAAGAAAATATAATAAATAATAGAATACTATTCTATTAGCAATAATGAAACAGTGAGGCAGAAAGCGCCAATATGGGCTGAAGATTGCCTACACACACGACCCCTCGGCTACCCGTATTTATCTCTGCCCTTTGTGTTGGAAACGGACGCCAGCAACACCGGAATTAATGATGTGCTATCCCAGGTCGGGAACGGCACAGAGAAAGTGTTGGCCGACGGGAACCATGTGTTGTCCTTCGCAGAGAAGCGCTACTGCGCGATGCGCAGAGAACTTCTGGTCATAGTTTACTTTGTACAGCAATACAGTAGCACCTCGGAGATCGAACGCACCAGAACTCGAACAAATCGGTGTTCGAACGATATTCCCGAACATTTTTTGCCCCGGAAACCGAACGAAATTCGGAGGTCGAACGGGCAATCGCGACTTGAAAGAACCTGTACGGCTGAGACGCGTATGACCAGCGTGCATGACGCTTTCCCAAAGGGTTTACCGTATGAGAGACTCAGTTAACACGTAGCTCTCACCCAGTGCAGACCCGCAAAACATCGTTAATATTCTTGGTTCTTTCGGTAAAGACACGTAGAAGGGAAATAATAAAATTAAAACTATAAAATAATTCTCATGACGTTTCGGCCACAACGCAAGCAGCCGTCCTCAGGTGAAGAATGAAACACCACCAAGCTTGGAGCGTATATTTAAGCTGGGTTGGAGGGGGAAGAAGAGCGCCTTGACAAAATAACTTGCATATCAAGAGGAATTTAGCATATGAGCAAATGCGTAGGAGGTGGGCGGGGGGTTTCAAAGTCGTATGCCCGTGCATTATGCAGGATTAGCAGCATTAAAGGGCGGGCATAGGGGTAGCATTAACAAAGGGAAGGAATGTTAATAGTGTAATATACTTGAAGACTCTTGGACGCCGGAGTTGGAGGCACACGTATTTATTCAGCACAGCACAATCGTGGGCATACAACACTGGAGGGGGTATCGGCCCCCTCACCCGTTTATCTGGGGATACACTTGCGAGCTACGTCTAGCCTACCTCCTAGTCCTCCACTAACGGGCTAGGGGAGGCTATCTAGCCCGACACTGGTAAGTCGGGCTTACGGTACCCGGAGTCCCAGACCAGCTCTGATAAGAGCACCGGCTCTGGTTCTCGGGACCACGCCGCTGGCTCGGTCCTGTTCGGCCCTGATAAGGGCGGCGATCCAGGGGAGTCCAGGGCCCTATCTAGACGATCTTCGGTCTTCACTGGTTAGCTTAACATTATCACCCCGAGCCCTCCGGCTCATCCCTTTTTATACCAAACCCCCGGCTGAGGGGTGGGGCCCCGGGGGATCACAACTCCGGGCAGCCCCCCAGGCTCCCCAGTGCGGACGTCGTTGAGATCACCTCCCCGTGCACTCACGTAGCCACGCCCACTGTGTTTGTTTCCCGTGTGATCCCATGTATAAGAGCCCCTCCGTAACACCCCTACAATAGTATGTAGCTGCAGTTATTAAACCACCACGTAAAAAAACTAAAGTATAAACTACATAGTATCTTCAGTATACTAAATATACTCTCCAATAAGCTGAGCTACTAACAGTAAGTAATACATTACAATTCTATGTCGCAAAAAATATAATATGCTTCCAGCTAAACTTTTACCACCTCTCCTATTGACATATTTCGTTGCTTCCTCTTAGTATCTTTCACGCGACGGTTAATGGTATAGTGTATAGAAGATTGTATAAATAGTATAACATTGTAATGCTTAATACAATGTATAAGGTAATATACAGTATTGTAATTGTATAGTGAATATACAGCAGTGTGGTATACAGTAGGGTGGGTAGAATAATACGTAGGGTAATATTATAGTCGAATGTATAGAGTGGTGTATAGTAATACAGTATATAATTTAATGTTGGGTTTGTCTATGGGAGCATATAGTACGGGGTAGACCCGTGTGATGTAAGAGAAAAAAATTAACCCGTAAAAACTAAGTTTTTCACTCTAAATCCTTTATATGCGTGGCGGCTAGAGTCCTCTCGTCCTCTGGCTTGAGATGGCTGCCACCTATGGGTCAGATGATTGTCTGCCAGCATTAAGCAATTGGTAATTAAATATTTAAAAAAATTCCCTAAACAGTGTAAAATTTTGGAAAAAAAATTTCACGAAAATGTATTGTCACGCACAACGAGTCTGTGTGGAAAATGTCAGCTCGATTGGATCACGGGAAGTGGGTTAAAAAACGACCGAAAGATTTGCACGGTCGTAAGCAAGCAAGCAAGCACGCAAGCGAACTTAATATAAAGGATTTAAAAAGTCACTCGCATCCAGCCCCTTCGTGACGTCACCCTACACTATCAACCTCCCGGCATACGCGCGCCCGTTTGACGTCGTGACGTCACGTCACTAACCGTGCCGGGTCGCTGGGAGACGCGAGTGACGTCACCCCAACCTGCGCCTCCCCAGCACGTGACGTCAATCCTGTGGGGGGGGGGAGGTTAACACGGTGTGGGGTAACGTCAGTTGCTCGAGCAAGTGTGCGTGACGTCACGTCACCGCTGTCCCCGGGGGGGAAGCGTGAGTGACGTCACGCACGGACGGGGTTGGGTGACGTCACGCACAGATACAGAGAGTCGAGGCCTCCGTGTAGCGTTGTGAAGTTCAATATCGCCACTGGGGGAGAGACAAAGGCGGCCGGGCGTGGTGCTGGATACCGACCCCCTTCATAGGTACTGCTACTCGCTACTAACAGCAGCACTTGCGGCTGCAGCCTGTGTGAGGCTACCTGGGGGATCTTTATATTTGTGTGTGCGCCTGCTCCTGTGAGGAGCGGTGGTGCAGCGGTTAGCGCTACGAACCTGGCGACCCAAGTTCGATTCCCGCTCACGGCCAACACCGCCAGTGACGATTATCTGGACCGGTCCTGGTTCTCCCCTATGTCTACTCAGCCTCAAATGTGTGCCTGGTGCTGTGTGTGTGGTAAACATCGCACTGGGGGAGAGACAAAGGCGGCCGGGAGTGGTGCTGGCCACCCACCCCCTCGTGTGCCGGTTCTGGCCTTCATAGGTGCTCGCTAACAGCACTTTTCCCCACAGTCTGGTAAGGCTACACGAGGTATATTTTTAATTTTCGACACTTCACGTGACGGCCTCAAAGTGCACCTAGCCTGGCACAGGCGCCGTGGTGACGTCACCGCCACTTCGTGGCGAATGGCGGTTGTTGTTGTTGTGTCTGCGCCGGTTTGCAACTTGCAGGCCGGCCCTGCCCACGATCCATCGTGGGTTTAACCTGTCGTCTTAGTCGCAGTGTGAGGTGCTCACGAATCCTTGTAGGATCTGGACAGGGTCCCTATCATCAGCGAGCTCCTCCAAGGCTGCATTGGCTGGGCCATGTAGCCCGCATGCCCAGGCACCGCATGCCTTAAAAGCTTTTGTTCGGCCATATCGGGCACGGCACGGGCTGGAGAAGAGATGGAGTGACGTGGTACAGGAGGATGTGGAGCTAAGTGGACTTGACGATGACTGGTACCAGCGGTGTCAATATCGGCCTCTGTGGAGGAGGCTCGTGAAGGACGCTACTACTGGGCATTTGGAGGCAGTCACCCTCCAGCAACAACGGAGGGCAGAGGAGCAACGCTCACAACAACGAGCAGAGCGCCGGGTGACTAAAACGCAGCAAGTTTGCACAATAGGGGGCACAGTTGGTGCATCTGCCAGTCATCTCAGTGAGAATCAGAATCTTTATTCAGACTGCAGGAGGAGGAATTCGATGACCTATGAAGCTCTTTTCCACAGATGTCCAGCAAACACACGATACACACAAACACACGATACACACAAACACACGATACACACAAACACAATACACACAAACACGATACACCCAAACACACGATACACAAAAACGATAGGAGTGAAAAATAAAACAAAAGGTAAGCAAGTCGCAAAATGGAAATTAATTGTTCAAGTCCGATTTATCAAGATTGGGCAAGGCAGCAAAAATAACAACGGATCAGTGGCCAACCGCGCTAATCGGAGGTGCGGGTTGAAGGACAATAAATTTAACACGACAACAAGCAGCAGTTCTGAAGAAATTAGTTTATCAATCGAGGCGATGATTTAAAAGTGCATTGTAGCTCCCAGTGGCTTCCTCATACCGGAGAGGAAGAGCGTTCCAGACGTCCGCCACAAGCAGCAGCATCTGAAAGCACCACGCGACGCAGCGGCGACCACTGCCTTTGTTGGACGGTTAGCAACCGATGTCCGTGGTTTCTAGCTTCACGACTTGTTTGCGATACTTCACAGGGGCGGGGCGAGGGAGATTCATTTTCCTTCGTGTGCCTCACTCTTTGCCCCAGTCCCAGGACGGGAACGATGAACGAGGGAGGAGAGATGAAGATCTACTGCCCGATCTGCAAATGGGTGGTGATCAGCCTGCCCGCCCTGGAGGACCACATGAAGCGGCACAAGGGCCTGACTGAGCCCGTGCTATACCAGTGCCCCCACTGCCCGTACAGCACGGACAAAGCGGCCACTCTGATCGGCCACCAGAGGAGCCACGCCGACGAGAAGCCCTACAAGTGCAGGGTGTGCGGGGAAGTTTTTGCGAATTCCGGAGACTTCTGCTCCCATCAGAGCGTGCACATCAAGCGAGCGCGACGGGGGAAGGCGTTCCCCCCACCGCCAGGAGACGTCTCGCCGGACGGGAGGATCCGTGCGGGGGAGAGGCCCTACCACTGCAACGTCTGCAGGAGTGGACTTCACTCAGTCGCACCACCTCCTCAACCACGAGAGGATCCACACGGGCGAGAAGCCGTATGCGTGCACCGTCTGCGGAAAGGCGTTCGCGCGCGCGGGCACCCTCGTCGCCCACAAGCGGGTCCACATGGGCAAGAAACCCTACGGGTGCGACACATACGGCAAGGCGTTCAAGCAGTCGGGGGTGCGACTAAAGCAGTCGGGAGTGTGACTAAAATGCAGCAAGTTGTCACAGTAGGGGTCACAGGCGGTGCATCGGCCAGTCATCTCAGTCAGAATGAGAATCTTTATTTAGACTGCGGGAAGAGGATTCTGATGAGTTGTAAAGCTCTTTTTCACAGATCTCTAGGATGGGTACGGGGAATCAGCGAGTTACAGCGGCAAACACACGATACACACAAACACATGATACACACAAACACACGATACACACAAACACGATACACACAAACACGATACACAAACACACGATACACAAACACACATGATACACACAAACACGATACACACACATGATACACACGATACACACGATACACACAAACACACGATACACACAAACACACGATACACACAAACACACGATACACACAAACACACAAACACGATACACACGATACACACAAACACACGATACACACAAACACGATACACAGAAATACACGATACACACAAACACACGATACACAAACACACGATACACACAAACACGATACACACAAACACACGATACACACAAACACGATACACACAAACACACGATACACACAAACACACGATACACACAAACACGATACACACAAACACACGATACACACAAACACACGATACACACAAACACACGATACATGCGAACACACGATAGGAGTGCAAAATTGAACAAAAGGTAAGCAGGTCGCGAAATGCAAATTCATAATTTTTGTCCGATTTATCAAGATTGGGCAAAGCAGCAAAAACACAACATAACAGTAGCCAGAGGTGCGGGGAAAGGACAACAAACTCAACACAAAGATCTATTTTAAAGAAATTAGTTCTCAATGTAGTATCGCGGTGTAGTGTATCGTAGTGTAGTGTATGGTAGAGTAGTATGATGTAGTGTAGTGTGTAGTCGTGTAGTATGTAGTAGTGTGTCTAGTCGTGGAGAATGTAGAACTTCTTTAGCAACAGTACGTAGCCAACCGTGTTAATCGGAGGTGCAGGGGAAGGACAATAATCTTAACTCAACAACAAGCAGCAGTTTTAAAGAAACAAGTTTTGTAAATCTAGATGATGACTTAAACGTGCATCATAGCCCCCAGTGGCTTCCTCATATCGGTAGGGAAGAGCATTCCAGACAGCCACCACAAGCAGCAGCATCTGAAAGTGCCGCGCGATGCAGCGGCGACCACCGTCTTTGTTCGACGGTTAGCAACCGGTGTCCGTGGTTTCTAGCTTCACGACTTGTTCACGATACTTCACAGGAGCGGGGGAGATACATTTTTCTTTGTGTGCCTCACTCTTTGCCCCAGTCCCAGGACGGGAACGATGAACGAGGGAGGAGAGATGAAGATCTACTGCCCGATCTGCAAATGGGTGGTGATCAGCCTGACCGCCCTGGAGGACCACATGAAGCGGCACAGGGGTCGGACCGAGCCTGTGCTGTATCAGTGCCACCACTGCCCATACAGCACGGACAAAGCGGCCACCCTGATCAGCCACCAGAGGAGCCACGCCGACGAGAAAGCCCTACAAGTGCAGGGTGTGCGATGAAGTTTTCGCGAATTCTGGAGACTTCTGCTCCCATCAAAGTGTGCACATGAAGCGGGCGCGACGCGGGAAGGCGTTCGCCCCACCGCTAGGAGACGTTTCACCGGACGACAGGATCCACGCGGGTGTGAGGCCCTACCACTGCAACGTCTGCGGAGTGGACTTCACTCAGTCGCACCACCTCCTCAACCACCAGAGGATCCACACGGGCGAGAAGCCATACGCGTGCGCCGTGTGCGGTAAGGCGTTCGCGCGTTCGGGCACCCTCGTCACCCACAAGCGGGTCCACACTGGCAAGAAGCCGTACGGCTGCGCCACGTGCGGCAAGGCATTCAAGCAGTCGGGGGCGCTCCTCAACCACGAGAGGACCCACACGGGCGAGAAGCCCTACGGGTGTGCGGCCTGCGGGAAGCGATTCGCCCAGTCGAGGGGCCTCGTCATACACGCGAGGACCCACACGGGCGAGAGGCCCTATGGGTGCGCCATGTGCGGCAAGTCCTTCGCCCAGTCGGGAGCCCTGTCCGTACACAGGAGGACGCACACGGGCGAGAGGCCATACGCGTGCCCCACGTGCGGCAAGTCGTTCTCCGAGTCGGGCACCCTGGGCATCCACAAGCGCACCCACACAGGCGAGAGGCCTTACGCGTGCGACGTGTGCAGCAGCTCGTTCACGCACTCGGGCACCCTCCGTGCGCACAAGAGGACGCACGCGGCCGGGAGGTCCTTCGCATGCCCCACGCGCGGGAAGGCCTCCTCCAGGGCGGGGAGCCTCCGGGCGCGCCGGCGGGCCCGCGCGGACTCGAATGCGTCAACGCCGCCGGCCCGTCCCCCCCTCTGCCGCCGTGCCCGCAGGAGAGCCGGACGTCACGAGGGTGCGACTGCCTCTGGGGAGGTCGTGGCGAGCCTCGGGGGCGAGGGTCCTGCGGCGATTCCCTCGGCGACCCCCTCGGCATCGTTAACATCAGAACGTGGAGAGACTCTCAGCTTCGAGACGTGGCCAGGGGTGAAGATGGAATGCGACGGTGAAGATCCTTCCGCCTCCCTGCCGATCGTGAAGCGGGAGCGCGGAGGGATCGCCAGCTCTGAGATATGGCCAGGGGTGAAGGTAGAACATGGCGGGGGGGAGGATTCTTCAGTTCCCCTCTCGATCGTGAAGCAGGAACAGGAAGAAACTCCCGGCTGTGAGACGCAGCTGGGGTAAAGGTTGCACACGGGAGGCCGAATCTTTGCTTTGGGAACAGATGTTGAGGTCTACGTGGGAAGAGTGGAGAAGGTTCCAAGCAAGCATGTCGAGTGAGTCCTCGACTGGGACCTTTGCTAATTTGGTGGCACGGATGGAGGATGTGGGCTACACAGAGGGGGCAGGTCCCGTGGAACGGAGATTAAACACTCGAGAAGCTGACCGAGAGAGAAATGTTCAGAAAATGCCGCGCGATACAAGGGCCATTCGAAAGCACGAGCACATCTGCACAACTGTGAAGGTACACAATGTGGAGTCAATAGTTTTTGCTCTGAACAGATACACGTGAAGTAAAAACTATGTAGACTCCCAGAGGGTGATGCGCACCCCAGGTTAAGAAGAACCACTGGTCTAGACTCATGAGAACTTAGTTTCACGCCCGCGTGGGTCTCACAGCCGACGCCTTCCTCGGTTTGCTGCTTCCCGAGCGACTGGGTGAGAGGCCAGGATCTTCGTCACAGGGTTCCACCTTCATGCCCAGCCACAGCTCGCAGACTGAGCTCCCTTCCGGTTTCTCACAACAAGGGGGAAGAGGCGCATGCATGTCGGGTTTCACCGAGTCACCCCTCTGCCTACCCCCTTCATGAGCTCCATCTGACTCCCCCCCCCCCCCCCCCACCGTTTGTAGCATTGCACGGTTCGTAAGTCGTGTACAGCGCCATATTTAAATGCCTGCACGGTCGGTGTTGTGCAACGTGTTACGGTTGAATTAAGAGGCAACGTCGTACATTTGCATGTAATACTGGACTGTATCAAATACCATGAAGTAAATCTTATCAAAAAACGAAATTTTTTGGCTGTCTCTGTATCCGCACCTTCCTTTTTAACTGATAAACTATTTCGTTTACGAGAATAGGGTTTCCCCTTTTTTTCTGGTAACAAAACAGGTGTTAGGATGTTAAAACACCAAACTGAAACCTTTTACAAGGAATCATGTCTGCATGAACCAAAATACTTGTGGTCACACATCGTCACAAATGTCTGACCCTCCCCAGGTGCATGACGTCATTTATGGACGGCCCCTAGGGAGTGCATCACCTTGTAGTAGTACAGGCTGCAGTGTCTAAGTCAATTTGTACCAGGTGACCTCATGGTTATGTAGTGACTGTACTTGTTACTGTGTGGTGCTGGGACTTGCGAAGTCACGGCCGATAATGTTGTCATTGCGGGCAGCCCGGGTTGCGGGCTGCAGTACCAACACTAGCGGTGGTTGGGTGAACGCTGGTTAGCGCGAAGACACCGCGAGCAGTGTGCGGTGCCGGCTCCCAGTGAGGGAACGAGAGTGAGCGTCAGCCAGCCAAGGTTACTCTGGGGCATGACGCTCTGGCTGACCTGTTGTCACGTGACCGGACGATACTGGAGGGGGGCCACCAGTGGACGGGGGCCGAGGGGTGGTCACGTGGTCCCGGAGAGCTCTCGGGAACATTCGAGAAAGGGCCCGAGGAGCCTGGAAGGTGGGCGGGGCTAAGGGTGGAGCCAGCCCCAGCCCTGGGGCATATAACGAGAGCTCCGTGAGAAGCTCGGGGTTCTTCAAGTCTTGGTGTTCGAAGATCCACGTCGGGGAGAAGCCTCTAGCCACACGGTCCGGGACCCAGCTTGTGGTCCGGACCAGGATAGCGAACCATGTCTAGTTATGCCATAGCGTGGTTAGATGGGCATTCGAGACCCGAGCGTAGGTTGTGTTATGTTCGTGCTGTGTTGAATAAATAGTGTTGCTCCCAAGTTAACGTCTGCAACTCAGTTGGACTCACTACAGTTACAACAACCCGCAATAGGGAGTGCATCACCTCGTAGTAGTACAGGCTGCAGTGTCTGAGTGAACGTGTCCCGCACCTCTGATGGGCACGGTTGGCTACGTACGGTGTGAAGGAAGTTCAACATACGTAGATTTAGAATTTATTCCAAAATATGTTCACAAAGTTATCTTCGCGTCAGTCTCTTAATAAACAACAGTGACATAGCAGTGACAAGAACGATTTGCGAGCTTCAAAACTGTCACTGCCTAGCGATATTCATTCACAAGAGAATATAACTGCTTCAAACCACTCGGCCTTGATATAGCATAGAAAATACCTTAGCCTTAATCCGTCTAATTCAAAGTCCCCATATCGTACCTCCATAATTAACACTATTACATCATGGGAATTACAACGAAATTATTCAGATCATCTATAAGTGTCCAAACACGACTGCATCTTAACCCTTTGCCATTCCGATGACGTACGTCATCCCAAATCGTCGCTGGTCGTGTGGCTCGGAGAGTTGTCATCAAGGCCGACACGAAGATGATGGGGAGTGCTTCCATAACGGGTGCCTCAGGAGAATCCTGCTGGATTATTCTGGCCGAGCAAAATCCATGACAACGAAATGAACAAAATATAAACTGAACAAAAGAACATATATATATATAACCCAAACGGGAATGCATACCCAGTCATATATTCATGAACCCCCCCCCCCCTTCGCGCAAGCATAACGCACAAGTGTTGTCATCACGTTTACACCTCTATTTAAGGAACGAAACAGGACTTCTCCACAAATCTGTCTGCCGCCCGATGAAGCTAGTTGTTGTAATTGCTGGCGACACGTCGTACTTAGATTGTAAATGTTGTGGCTTGGCTCTCCAACACACAGGTGCTGTACTAGTAACGAATTGGCCACGTTCTGTTTAAGTGACAAACCTTACTAATTGGCCGTGTCGGGTAGTGGCGGGTTTAGCGACACATTTATATACAGGGTGCTTAAAAATGTTTTTAACACTAAAATGGAAAAGAACGGAAAATACACTGTAACACGATAACAAAAGTCTAAGAATCTCCACTCGTTCGCCATCATTGTCAACAACATGCCTGGAATCTTCTCCAGGTGGTCTCCAGAGCCCGGAGGCACATTTCTTGTGGTATTGTTGCAAATTTTCAGAAGTGTTCACATTTTTTTGAAGCACCCTTATTTACACGATCTAACAACAAAAAAACCTGTATTATGGATATTGGTAGCGAAAGCCTACTAGGTGTTAAACTGAACAAAATACCGGTTGTCCTAATATATATCGCACACGAGACATCTAGAGACGTCGACTCGAACGGCTCGGACATGAACTCAGAATGGACCAGGGGACCCACATACCAAAAAAAATGACGACCGTAGATGGACACCACCAGGTTAGAAGGAAACCCGGGAGACCCGAGACCACCTGGCCCGAGACGGTGAAGGATGAGCTGGTGGCAGCAATCAACCTCTCTTGGGGGGCGAGGCTCACGACATGTTGCCAAGGACAGGAAGAAGTGGGGGGAACTCATTGCGGCCTTGCGTCCCACAGGGGATGAAGAGGATTCACTAACGAACGTGTACGGCATCACTGCAGGATCAGTGAGAATTTGATAATTGAAGGCCATGCGGGAGGGCGTGTGGCACGGTTTGGCGCCAGCTACCGTGGAGTGGCAGTGGTCGTGTCGCTACGATTCTCCGCGGGGAGTAACGACGCCTTGATACAAACAGAGGCGCTGCTGCTGCCACGCCTCTCTAAATGAAACTAACGCCGAGCCCGCTCATGCGCTCCGAGGTTAGGTGGTGAATGGGGACTACCCCACACCCTGCAACTTGCAGACGTCTCGGAAATGGGAACGAGTTAAGATGCTGTACAGAAACCAGAACATAAACCATCATCACGCGAACTCCGGCCGTCATCCTCGCAGCGGCGGCTTATGGCTGGCCATCGAACAAAAGGCGGTCACCGCATCGCACGGTAATTTCAGATGCGCTTCTGCGGCCGTCTGGAACGCTCTCCTTCCGATATTAGCAAGCCACTGGAGCTGTGAACTTTTAAATCAAGATAGAAAACTAATTTCTTTACAACATACATCCAAAAACAACCGTACAGTAAGACAAAAAGTTTTTTTTTTTTTTGCCACAGATGGAACCGGGACAGGGCCTAGGAGATTCTTCTCCAGAGTGTAGAACGATGGCCAGGCAAGAGCCAGGAGGCAGTTCTGGGACCATGGGCACTGGGTACAGGAATCGCTCATGAAATTCTGACGTATTGTTTGCATGTTCACCAAAAGTATGGAATGGGCACCGAGTCCATCGCAAAGAAGCCGCAGAATCCCGGAGCGCTCTGCTCAGCCGAGTAAGCTGTGCAGCTCTGTGGCGAATCTCCTGGGAACGGACACTCGCATTAAAGACAACTAGCGGAGATGCGTTGTCGGCGCGTGGCTTTTCTTGAACAAAGTAGCCTCATCCCGAGCCTGCAAGTCGGCGCGATGCGTTTATGGCAGCTGACTGTGGCGAAGTCACGCTGCTCCGCCTGCTGCGTTCGAGATGGTCGATCACAGCATCTTAGATGATAAGTCTTCGAGGAATTGCTGGAAACCAGTTTAGAAGGTCACCAGTGACATGCAGTGAGCCACAAGGCAGTGGACTTGGCCCGGTGTTCTTTCAACTCTACACCGGTGACTGCCATCCGCATCGCCCATCGTCATATCGGCATGCATTCCATGTGCCGATGATGTAAAGTTCTTCATCCGCTTGGAAACCAATTTGCGTGTCTCTCACGTTAGGCGCTTCATGTCATGTGCCGACGTCGAACCGTCCGAAGTTGAACGGGAACAAAAGACGAATTTATCACACTCGGGACCCGCCGTCAGCTCGCAAGAAAAAATTACCGGGACATTCGAGTGCCGGACAAGGCAACAGTGCCTCGGCATTCTTGTCGACAGCGAGTTGACATCTGCCACTCACATCAGGCACTTCACCGGACGGTGCTTCTGTCGGTTTCGTCAACTGCACCGCCGCCTGTTATGTGCGCCGACTGGCGAGGCAGCTGGCATGCTCATCCGCGCGTTTTATCGTCGGTCGCGCGGACGACACACAATGGAATCTTCGGATGTGCCAAGCGCAGGCGCACCTCCGTCTGCTCAGGTCAGCTCATCTGATAGTTCTGAAGCGGAACATTTGATCCGATTACGACTTTGATGGGACAAAGAGCTACACTGGCTACCTGTATAACACAGGACCGCGTACGAACTGCGCCGGCCTGTCTACAAGAGCCTGTGTATATCCGCTCCATCCTTCTCTTGGCGATCGACGCGTGACGGTCTCAACAGACCAAAATCCATCCAGTATCCGCAGCCCAAGGCAATCCGCTGTACCCGCCGCGCGTGAACCTCGTGGTGCACCGATGCGGCCAGCGCAGTTTCGGGGTCTCCGGCCCCAAGACCCCAAACGGGTTACCAGCTCACGTTCAAGATCCATCCCAGAGCCTGAGTACGTTTTTGCAAGAGACTTAAAACGGCGTCATTCCAAAGAGCTTACTACGTCCGATTAGTGCATGTTCATGACGGACTAGACTCGTAAGAGTGTACGATAAGAAATGCTCAGGCTTACTTACTACAGAAAGATCCCCAATATAGCCTTAACAGACTGTTGGGGCAAGTGCTGTTAGCGAGCACCTATGAAGGCCGGCACGGCACACGAGGGGGTGGGTTACACACCACATCAGGTACTCGTTTTGAGGCTGAGTCGACCTAGGGGAAGTCCCAGGACCGTTTTAGATAATCGTCAGTGGTGTTGGCCGTGAGCGGGAATTAAACTCGGGTCGCCGGGCTACGCAGCGCGGCGCGCTCACCGTTGCACCACCGCTCCCCACATAGACACATACAGCAGTCTGTGTTGGCCAATGGGCCATAATCTTAACCATAACCTTGGCCCAGGGGTTGATTTATTTATTTAAGATGATGATTTTGATCCTACGTTGTGCCGTCTCATCATTTTGATGCTTTGATGACTGCAGGCAGTTTTTTCAATTCCGACGACCGGTGGTTCTGTGGCCGGAATCTAAATCAGTGGATCCCGCCTCCTCCTTCGCTGTGAATGACCATGTAGACATCTCCTTGTTCTAACGTCCGAACAATCGGGATCTTTACGTGGCCAACGTATTCCAACGCTGTAAGAAACCACTGGAGCTATCGATGGATTTGATTTATTTCAGCAGCGAGGGCCAAATAAGCTGCCAGGCTGCGGCGGTAAAGATCTGTGTTGCAATCCGCGGTCACATAGGTCGCGATGCTAACGCCAAGTATCGGCGCATGCTTTACACGTTACAAGACGTCACGGAACTAGTTAACCGTGTGAGTGGCGAATAGAAGGGCGAGATTTCACGATGATGATGATGCATGTCCTGTATGTTGAACTTCTTTCGCGCCGTGCGTAGCCGACCGTGTTCATCGGAGGTGCGAGGGAAGGGCAACAAACTGAAGACAAACATCAGTTATAAAGAAATTAGTGTGTCAATCTACATGATTTAAAAGTGCATAGCTCCAGTGGCTTCCTAATATCAGAAGGAAGAAACGTTCCAGACGGCCACAGAAGCGCATCTGAAAGCGCCGCGTGATGATGCGGTGATGAAGATGATGGGGAGCTGTGAACAATGGGGGATGGCCCTGCATGGGGCGAAGAATTAAGTACCGGGACCAGCAGGACTCGACCCCATGGAGTACCAAGCAGCACGGCCCCGGGGTTCTGGCCTCGACCGTCAGGTCAATTCTCCCCATCCTGTTCAAGGAGCGACCTCACGCCTGGTTTGCCTAACATCCATTCAACAAAAAAACTAAAACTTTTGTTTATTTTACCAGGTAAGGCCCACTGAGCTGTACCCGCTGTCTTTCAGAAGTGACCTGACCACAAATGACAGCCCAACGAAGTGGCTCATCAGGTGTCAATTTGTAGCAGCAGCCAAAGACTCTTAAACGCGTCTTTCTAAACGTGGGGGGGAAAAAAAAATCCACGGAACCACGGGGAGAACACGCAAACTCCAAATATACAGCAGGCGTTAGGGTTGGGATCGAACCCACGACCTACTGTACACCAGGCGAGGTAGTTAACATCTCGCCACCGTGGCACCTGGCTCACCCACACCTGCTACGGCTTCAGTGAGTGTGGAGCACTCTCATCGTCTTTTTCTCATCCTCTTCACCCCAGAGATGTCTCTCTTTTAGACATCTCAGTATTCCCCTCCGCTTTTTCACCCTTTTCCTCAGGTTTCCTTCTTCTTACATGTCCGTGATTAACATCAATCTTGGCGGGTGAACGCGAGTTGAACGCATTCAGAAGAGCGCACGTTTTATTGGGTTCAATTTTGCATTTAAGATTTCCGTTTTAGCGTAACGGAACCCGGTCTGGATGCCATCGGGTACTTGACAAGCACCGTGACCTGGGCGTACGTCCACACGCGTGCTTCACTTTCATGGCTTTTCCTTCGCGTGGCTCCTCCTGTGCGTATTGAGGGCTCCCGACCGCTGGAACGCCTTGCCGCACACGGCGCACACGTACGGCTTCTCGCCCGTGTGCACCATTTTGTGCGTGCGAAGGGCTCCTGCCCACGCGAACGCGTCCCCGCACACGGCGCACGCATACGGTTTCTCGCCCGTGTGGATCCTGTGGTGCTTGCGCAGGGTCACTGGCTCTTTGAAATCCTTGCCGCACACGGCGCACACGTACGGCCTCTCGCCCGTGTGCGTCCTCTGGTGGTTCCGAAGGTACTGCGAGCGGGTGAACGACTTTTCGCACACGGTGCACTTGTACGGCTTCTCCTCCATGTGGGTCCTCGTGTGCGTGAGGAGGGCTCCCGAGCGCGCGAACGCCTTGCCGCACTCGGTGCACGCGTACGGCTTCTCGCCCGTGTGGATCCTCTTGTGCGCGAGCAGAGCGCCCGACTGCGAGAACGCGTCGCCGCACTCGGCGCACTTGTACGGCTTCTCGCCCGTGTGCGTCCGCTGGTGGCTGCGCAGGTAGTCCGAGCGGGAAAACTCCATGCCGCAGACGGTGCAGTGGTAGAGCTTCTCCCCCGTGTGGATCCTCTTGTGCGACAGGAGGCTCGCCGACCAGGCGAACGTCACGCCGCACTCGTCGCACCGGTAGGGCTTCTCGCCCGTGTGGGTCCTCTGGTGGCTGCGGAGGCAATCCGACCGGGTGAACTCCATCCCGCAATCGGTGCACTGATAGTGGGCCTCCCGCGCGTGACACCTCTGGTGCGCGAGAAGGCTCTCCGGCTGGGCGAACGCCTCTCCGCACGCGGTGCACTTGTGCGGCTTCTCCTCGTCGTGCATCGCCTGGTGCTCGCGGAAGACATCCGCGTCGACGAACACCTTGCCGCACTCGGCGCACTTGTGGGACTCCCCCGCGTCGTGCGTCGCCTGGTGGGCGATCAGGACGTTGAGATTGTCCGTGCTGTACGGGCAGTGGGGGCACTGGTACACGACGGGTTCGGTGCGGCCCGCGTGCCGCTTCATGTGGTCCTCCAGGGCGGGCAGGCTGACCACCACCCAGTTGCAGACCGGGCAGCAGATCCGCTTCACTTCCTCTCCTTCTTCTTCACCCATTTTCCTTTGCTCGTCACTGGAGCACACAGAGATAGACACGCAGATAGCCAGAGATACACACAGAGACAGACACAGATATAGACACTCAGATAGACAGAGATACACAGGCAGGCACACAGAGATATACAGACATACACAGAGAGACACAGAAAGACAGAGATACACACACAGAGATTAATAATAATTTATATTTCTAAGGCACCCTTAAGCAATTATTGTCGGGGCGCTGTGCGCGAAAGGCAGAAAGAGTTAACATCAACCATGGGAGGGAAAGACAGCTTGAAAATAACCAAAGAGAGCAAGACATTTTAAAACAGGTTTTTAGTCGAGATATGAAGATTTATAAAGTGCCTCGGAAGCCCCCAGATTTGTGAAGTCCTCCTGTTTTGTTTCGTTCCCCCCCTCCATTTAAGGAAAAACAACTGCAACAAGACTGTACAAATCTGGCTGTCGCCTGATGAAACCAGTCGTAATTACTGGCCAAACGTCGTGCTCAGATTGTAAATGTTGTGGCTTGGCTCTCCAACACACAACAGGTGTGCTGTACTAGTATACTACACGATACACTACACTAATATACACTATACTATACTCTACTATACACTACTATACACTACACTATACACTACTATACACTACACTATACACTAAACACTACACTATACAATACACTAAACACTACACTATACACTACTATGCACTTCACTAAACACTATACACTACACTAAACTATACACTACACTAAACATTACACTATACACTTCACTAAACACTACACTATACACTACACTAAATACTACACTAAACACTACACTATACACTACGCTATAACACTACACTATACACGTCACTAAACACTATACACTACACTATACACTAAACACTACACTATACACTACACTATATACTAGTGCTGTACTAGTAACGAGTTGGCCACGCTCTGTTGACATGACAAACCTTACTTATTTGGCTGTGTCGGGTAGTGGCGGGTTTAACGACACAACATTGATATATTTACGTGATCTAACCCCAAAAAAACCTGGATTATGGAGGGTAGTAAGGTCCTGCTTGTCCCGGATCTCAAGGTTTCTGGGTAGTGAAGCATGTGGCTGGGTAGTTGAGTGGCTGGGTAGTGGAGTGTGTGGGTAGTGGAGCGTGTGGCTGGGTAGTTGAGTGGCTGGGTAGTGGAGTGTGTGGGTAGTGGAGTGTGAGGCTGGGTAGTGGAGTGTGTGGCTGGGTAGTGGAGGGAGTGGCTGGGTAGTGGAGTGAGTGGCTGGGTAGTTGAGTGTGTGGGTAGTGGAGCGTCTTGTGGGTAGTGGAGTGTGTGGCTGGGTAGTGGAGTGTGTGGGTAGTGGAGTGAGTGGCTGGGTAGTTGAGCGTGTGGCTGGATAGTGGAGTGAGTGGCTGGGTAGTGGAGTGAGTGGCTGGGTAGTTGAGCGTGTGGCTGGGTAGTGGAGTGTGTGGGTAGTTGAGTGGCTGGGTAGTGGAGTGAGTGGCTGGGTAGTTGAGCGTGTGGCTGGATAGTGGAGTGAGTGGCTGGGTAGTGGAGTGAGTGGCTGGGTAGTTGAGCGTGTGGCTGGGTAGTGGAGTGTGTGGGTAGTTGAGTGGCTGGGTAGTGGAGTGAGTGGCTGGGTAGTTGAGCGTGTGGCTGGATAGTGGAGTGAGTGGCTGGGTAGTGGAGTGAGTGGCTGGGTAGTTGAGCGTGTGGCTGGGTAGTGGAGTGTGTGGGTAGTTGAGTGGCTGGGTAGTGGAGTGAGTGGCTGGGTAGTTGAGCGTGTGGGTAGTTGAGTGTGTGGGTAGTGGAGTGTGTGGGTAGTGGAGTGTGTGGGTAGTGGAGTGTGTAGCTGGGTAGTGGAGTTAACCAATTCGCGACTGCTCCCAGGCACAAAGACAAAGATCCCCCGTGTAGCCTGCAACAGACTGGTGGGGCAAGTGCTGTAAGTAGTGAGTAGCAGCAGCGCCTATGAAGGCCGCCACACAGAGGGGGGTGGGTGGCCAGCACCACGCCCGGCCGCCTTTGTCTCCCCAACCCCCCACCCCTGTGCTGATGTTTAGTACAAAGACAAAGCTCCCCCGTGTAGCCTGCGACATACTCTTGGGGGTAAGTGCTGTTCGTAGCGAGCAGAGCCTATGAAGGCCGCCACACAGAGGGGGAGGGGGGGGGGTGGAGTGGCCGGCACCACCCCCGCCCGGCCGCCTTTGTCTCTCCCCAGTGACGACGCTTACCACACCGCCACCGCTCCCCAACTCACACAAAGACAAAGGTGCCCACTCACACACCACACCCGGTATAGCCTCGCCTGAATGTCGGGGCAAGTGCTTTTACGAAGGCCCCGGCACTGCGTGCCCGGCCGCCTTTGTCTCTCCCCAGTGACGACGCTTAACGACTCACTTGCTGTCGACTACAAAGACAAAGATCCCCCGTGTAGCCTTCACAGGCTGTAGGGGCAAGTGCTTGTTAGCGAGCACCTATGAAGGCCGGAACGGTACACGAGGGGGTGGGGTGGCCAGCACCACCCACGCCCGACCGCCTTTGTCTCTCCCCCAGTGACGACGCTTAACTTAACAAGATGTCCCCCCCCCCCCCCCGGGACCCCTCCTCACCCTCTGTTCCCGCGGCGTCGGACTTCGTACGATGACGTCAAAAAATCGAGGTGGGGGTGGGAGGAGGGTGGTGGATTAACGTGACGTCACACACACCACGCGGGGCCCCCGGGGATGCGGGGGCGACGTGACGTCTTTCGCTAGTCGCGCGCGCAGGATGCTGGTGACATGACGTCACTTTTATATTTCCACCGCCCCCCCCCCTTCATCAGCGGCTTTCGCAAGTATTTGACGTCACGTCCGGGTTTTGGAGTCGCGCGGGAAGTGACGTCACAACTCCCCCCCCCCTTCCCGGCTGCCAATTCTCTGTTTATCTCGTGTCGATGTGAGTCTCCGTCTTGTCTGTGTGTCTCTCTCTGTGTTTGTGTGTCTCTCTCTCTGTGTCTGTCTCGCTATCTGTGTCTCTCTCTGTGTCTGTGTGCGTCTCTCTGTGTCTGTGTCTCTCTCTCTGTGTCTGTCTCTCTCTGTGTCTGTCTCTCTCTGTGTCTGTGTGTGTCTCTCTCTGTGTTTGTGTCTTTGTTTATCTCTTGTCTGTCTGAGTCCATCTCTTGTCCATCTATCGTCTATCGATGTCCCTGTGCGAGGCTGTCCGCCTCCAGGGGGCTGTCTCTCCGGGGAGACAAAGGCGGCCAGGCTCGCTACTGACAGCCCTTGCCCCGACTGTCTGTTAAAGGCTACACGGGTGTGGTGGGGCATCTTTGTCTATCGCTCTCTGTGTGTGTCTCAGTGTCTCTTTCTGTCTCTCTGTGTCTCTCTGTGTCTGTCTCTCTCAGTGTCTCTCTGTGTATCTGTGTGTCTCTCTGTGTATCTGTGTGTCGCAGTGCCTCTCTGTGTATCTGTGTGTCGCAGTGCCTCTCTGTGTATCTGTGTGTCTCTGTATCTGTGTCTCTCTGTATCTGTGTCTCTCTGTGTATCTCAGTGTCTCTCTGTGTATCTCTGTGTCTCAGTGTCTCTCTGTCTTGTGTGTCTGAGACCTCTGCGTGTCCGTGTCAATCTATCTCCGTGTCTGCCTCTTGAGTTTGTCTCTGCGTGCCTGCGTATCTGTGTTGCGGGCTCTGTGTGTCTCTCTCTGCGTGTCTGTCTCTGTCTATCTGTCTGTGTGTCTGTCTGTGTATATAATCTGTATTTCTGTGTGTCTGTCTGTGTGTCTATCTGTCTCTGTGTCTCGAAGGTCGTGAACTCGACTCCGGCAGCAGCAGAGCAGGTGAGTTTCGAGTAACAGCGCTGGGGAGCGGTGGAGCAGCGGTTAGCGGGGTGGATGGGTGGGGAGGGGCGGGGTAAGTGGGGAGGGGTGGGTGGGGGGTGGGGCGCTGAGGAAAGTAGCTCTGTGACTGCGCATGAACACACTCGCTTGGTCGCCATTTTGCACCCCCGCCCCGAGATTTGTCTCACTCCGCGGAGGAGGGGTGGGGATTATTTTTTCTTCCGTATCACCAACAACAAGCCATTAGTCGATGAAACCGTCGATTAATCACATCCCTAAGTACTGCTTATTAATACCCCCCACCCTTGAAAGGTGAGGTGGGTGGGTGAGTGCGTGAGCAACCATGGTACCCAAGCGTAAGTTGAGTCGGCGTGATGTCGTCGGTGACGACGGCGACCCCCACCACCCAAAGAAGAGGGCCCGCAGAGTCATGACCCTCCTGCAGAAGGTGCAGCTCCTGGACCGCCTGGCCCTCGGCGAGAGCGCTGCATCTGTGGGCCGCCGCTACGGGGTCAACGAGTCGACCAAGTCGGAGGGGCGCATCAGGGCGAGCGTGCGGGCCAGCGCGCCCGCCAGGGCCAAGGTGTCGCGCGTCACCCTTCGTGACCCCCTCGTGGAGCGCGTCGAGGCGGCGCTCGGGGTGTGGATCGAGGACAAGACGCGGCGGCGGGCGGCGCTGAGCGCTGGTGCCATCTGCGAGAAAGCCCGGCGCCTCTACAACCACCTGGGACGCGGCCGGGGTCGACAAAGGTGGCGAAGAAGCCGCCGCCACCGCGGCCGCCGCGGCCACCGCCGCCGCCGCCAGAAGATTTGGCGCCAGCCGCGGCTGGTTCGAGAACTTCAAGAGGCGGTTCGGCCTCCGGAACGTCGTCCTTGACGGCGAGTCTCAGTCGGTGGACCGCGCCGCCGCGTTTCGCACTCTCCTTGACGGCATCGTCTGCGCGGGCGGCTACGCGCCCCAGCAGATCTTCTGCGCGGCCGAGGCGGCCCTCTGCTGGAAACGCGTGCCCGGGCGCGCGAACGCGTCGGGCGACTTCGTGGCGAGGCCGCTCGTCCTGCGGCGGGCCAACGCGCGGGCGCGGGTCACGCCGTGCGTCTTCGCCGAGTGGCTCCGCCGCCGCTTTGTGCCCGAGGCGCGCGGCTACCTCAGGTTGCCGGGGCTGCCCTTCGGGGCCCTGCTGCTGCTCGGCCGCTCGCCGGCGCGCCCGGGCGGCGTCCGCTTCGCCCACCGGGGCATCGTCGTCGTCTTCCTGCCGCCCAACACCGCGCCGCTCCTGGAGCCGCCGGAGCGGGGGGCGATCGCGCGGCTCCGGGTGTGCTACGCCCGGTAGACCCTGGAGGGGCTCGTCGATGCGCTGGCGCGGGACGCCGCGGCGAGCGTCGCCGACGAGGTGAGGAAAATCGTGGGGCTGGCGCAGAGCGTCAGTGGCAAGGGCTTCGCCGACGTGGAGGCGCGCGATGTGGAGCGCCTGCTGGAGTCGCACGCGCGCGAGCTCACCGAGGCGGAGCGCGAGGAACTGATCGATTAGCTGCACGGAGACTCCCGAGGAGGAGCCGTCGGTGGAGGAGGATGACGAGGAGGAAGAGGAGGGAGAGAAAGGAGAGGAAGAGGAAGGAGAGGAAGAATTGACGACGCCGCCGCCAAGGTGCCGGATGACGATGCGGGCGCTGTCTGAGTGCTTCGCGATGTTCCAGGCGGCCGTCTTTCGTTTGCGGAAATAGACCCGCTGGCGGAGAGGAGCGCGCACCTCGGGAGTGACGTCGATGTGGCGCTGCTGGCCTACAGGGAGGTCTATAGGGCACTGTGGATGAAGGAGACGAAGCGGTCCGTTGGCAGGTAGATTCTAAAGCTGTTACAAGCAAAACATTTTTTTGTGAATTTAAAAAAGAAAAAAACAACACCGGGTAAGGGACTGAATTTTCTCCCAAGCTGAAATTGTCGCAGCCAATGAACGTCTGATGGGTACGCCTCGTGGCGTCTCTTGACAGATCTGATGGGGCACGGCTCCCAGCTACCGTAGAGTGAGCGGTGGTCGTGTCGCTACGCTCCTCTGGCAGGCGAGCAACGACGTCTTCGTAAAAAAACAATGGCGCTGCCGTCGCTACTGCACCTCTCTAAATATAATTAAAACGCCGAGGCCAGCTCGCGCGTTTCGAGATTCGGCGGTGAACGCGGGAGGACGGAGGCACAGATTCTTTACCCCCCCCTTTTTGTTGTTTTTGTGCTCCCACTCCCTGCCCCCCCCCCCAGCACCGCCAAGGCAGACGACATGAGCGAGCAAGGAGAAGGAGGAGGGACGAGGATCTGCTGCCCGGTCTGCAACTGGGTGGTGGTCAGCTCACCCGCCCTCGACGACCACATGAAGCGCCACAGGGGCCGCACGGCGCCCGTGCTGTACCGGTGCCCCCTGTGCCCGTACGAGACGGACAAGCCGGTCACGCTGATCGGTCACCAGAGGACGCACGTCGGGGAGAAACCGTTCGAGTGCCGGGCGTGCGGGGAGGCGTTCGCGAGGTCGGCGGATCTGCGCGCCCACCAGGAGGCGACGCACGGCGGCGGGGAGGCCCACAAGTGCGACGTGTGCGGCAAGGCGTTTGCCCGCCCAGAGGCTCTCCTCTCGCACCAGAGGTTCCACATGGGCGAGAAGCCCTACCGGTGCAGCGTCTGCGGCATGGACTTCACGCGGGCGGAGCACCTGCGCAGCCACCACAGGACCCACACGGGCGAGAAGCCCTTCCGGTGCGCCATCTGCGGACAAGGCCTTCGCCCACCCGGGCACCCTGTCGACTCACACGAGGATCCACACGGGCGAGAAGCCGTACAGGTGCGACGTGTGCGGCAAGACGTTCACGCACCCGGGCGGCTTCCACATTCACAAGCGTACGCACACGGGCGAGAGGCCGTACGCGTGCGCCGTCTGCAAGAAGGCGTTCGCTCAGTCAGGCTCCCTCCTCGTCCACGAGCGGACCCACACGGGCGAGAGGCCGTACGCGTGCACAACGTGCGGCAAGGCCTTCGCCGAGTCGGGCGCCCTGCGCATACACGAGCGGACGCACACAGGCGAGAGGCCCTACAAGTGCACGGTGTGCGCCAGGGCGTTCGCGGACTCGGGGGCCCTGCGCACTCATGCCCGGATCCACGCGGGCGAGAGGCCCTACGGGTGCGATGTGTGCGGCAAGGCGTTCACGCAGTCGGGCTCCCTCCTCGTCCACCAGAGGATCCACACGCGGGAGCGGCCATACGAGTGCGGCGCATGCGGGAAGGCCTTCGCAGAGTCGGGCGCCCTCCGCGTGCATAAGAGGGTGCACACGAGGGAGAGGCCATACACGTGCGCCGTGTGCGGGAAGGCGTTCAAACAGTCGGGGGCCCTCCTCGTCCACCAGAGGGTCCACGCCAGGGAGAGGCGCGGCCGTCGCTCCCGCCGCGGCCAAGGTTGCAATGACGACTCCGGCGCTGCACCGCCGCCGTGCGAGCAGGGGACGGCTCCTCCGAACCGGCGGGGCCGAGGGGCGAGTCGTCCCGGGGAGATCGAGGTGATGCTCGAAGACGAGAGCCCGGCGGCGACCCCTTCACCACTCGAGGGGGAAGAAAAAGAGGAAGAGGAGGGACGTCGAGAAGACGCCAGCATCGAGGCGCGCCCGGCGGTTAAAGTGGAAAGCGGAGCCGAAGACGCTTCCGTTTCCTCGGTGGTCGTCAAGCAGGAGTGGGAGGGGAGCTCAGGCTGCGAGCTGTGGCCGGGCGTGAAGGTGGAACCCTGCGGCGAGGATCCTGGTCTCTCGTGGTCGCTCGTGAAGCAGGAAGCCGAGGAAGGCACCAGCTGTGAGACGCTCGCCGGAGTGAAGCTAGAAAGCGGAGGTCAAGCTTCGTCCATCTCCCCGTTGAGTGTGAAGCAGGAACCTGAAGAGGGTCCCGGCGGTGAGGCGCAGCTGGGGTGCACGTAGGCCAAAGGTTCTGCCCTGGGTGCAAGTCACGGCGGCAGAGTTTGTCGAGGAGCATGAACCGTCATCACGCAAACTCTCCGGTCGTCGTCCTCGCAGCAGCAGCAGCAGCAGCAGTGGCGGCTTCTGGCGAACCGTCGAACAAAGACGGTGGTTACCGCATCATCACCGCGAGCCGCTTGCAGATGCTGCTGCTTCTGCGGCCATCTGGAACTCTCTCTTCCTTCCGATGAGGAAGCCACTTGGAGCTACCGACTTTTAAATCATCATCTAGATTGACACTCATTTCTTTAGAACTGCTGCCTGTTGTGTTTAGTTTGTTGTCCCCGCCTCCCTTCCCGAACCTCTGATGAGTGCGGTTGGCTACGTACGGTGCTGCGAAATAAGTTCAATTTGGGAAAATTGTCGAGGACGCGACCCTGTTTTTCACGTGCCAGTCTGAAGTTTGGCCAGTGTGGCATTTTGGACGACCTTGAGTTTTTTAGTGGTGGGTAGGGATTTGGGGCTTTGCCGTAGAAGAGAGAAGAGAAGGGGGAGTTGTGGTTCATCGATGCAGAGACGCTACCAAAGGATAGAAGAGGAGGAAGATGAAGAAGATTTTACTTTGTAAATACATGGAAAGATACTCAAAGATTTAGAGCCACCGGAAAGTCAACAGGTCGGGAAGAGAAGAATTATTACCAACGAGACAAACGAGCCGGACTTGTCGAGAACCCGAGTGTGGAGTTGTTGGTTACGTGGTAGAAACCTTGTGGGGGACTCCTTAAGAAAGGAAGGTTGACACGACCGAAAAGTCTCGCGACATACGCGACGTTTGAACTTCTTTGCGCGCCGTCCGTGGCCGCCAACCGTGCCGTTGATCGGAGGCGCGGTGCGGTGCTACAGGCGCAAGTAAATGTAGATGGATGGAAACAATGGCACGGAGAGGGGTTATCTCCAGGTAGGAATGCAAAGTCTTAATTGGAACGAACCAAAAACAAAAAGGAATGGGTGTGTAAACGACGCGGATCGGAAAAACTAAAAAGCTTAAAACCATTGGTGGACGAGATTTCTTATGCCCCCCCCCCCACCCACAGTCCGGAATACCCTCCTCCTCCCACAAACCCCTTCACTCCATGTCCGACATCAACTCCATGATGATGCCACCATCATCATCACTATTACGATTGAAATCTAAACTAAAGGCCCTTTTTTCTTCATCCAGGCATATGCTGAAAAATAGGTAATCACTTTCGGTGTCAATTAGTCGTAACTTTTTGGCCTAGTTTAACACGTCGTAGCAACACAGTAGAATCCCTCCTGAACGATAGTAATTGGTGCCACGAGACCGGTCGGTTAAGTGATTTGGTCGTTAAGTGAGTATAGGAAATGCACGTTAAAGGCTCAATTTGTTCCGCCAGCATCGAAAGTTACCCCTTTTTAAACCAAAAAACCGTACTTTATAATGTTTCAACAATGGATATTAATATGTAAAGATACTAACATTATAAACGCATAATATTAAAAGGAACGCGGTTAATCGATGCATTAATTAATATGTACTGTACCTACAACAGCCCGTCGTTAACAAGGGAATGGTCTGTAAGCGAACACATTGGGCTCTATGGAGGCACTACACTACACTATACACTACTATACACTACATGTTGGGCTCTATGGAGGCACTACACTACACTATACACTACACTACTATACACTCCACTATATACTACACGTTTGGGCTCTATGGAGGCCCGTCGTTAAGCGATCAGTCGTTAACAGGGGTGCTCATTAAAAGGGGCTCTACTGCAGTAGTAAGCAGTAGGGCTTTTGCGACCAATATTGCATAATAAAGGGGTTTTTGGGGTTAGAACGCGTAAATATAAATGTATCCTTAAACCCGCCGTCAGCCAACAGCCAATGATTAACGTTTGTCATATAAACCAAACTTGTCCAATTAAGTTAACTACTTCACCAACCGGTTGTGTGTTGGAGAGTAGACCCACAACATTTACAATTCGGGTACTAAAATTGGCACGTTTTTTTTACGTGACAAACCTTGCTCGGGTGCCACTGTGATGAGATGTTACCTCCCTGTCGGGGTATACAGGAGGTCGTGATTTGGATTCCGACCCTGATGGCTGTATAATTGGAGTTTGCATGTTCTCCCTGTGGTGGTCGCGTGGATTTTTCTCCGGTTCCTCCGGTTTTCCCCCCACATTTAGAATCAACATCACGCGTTGAGAGCAGTGGTTCTTAACCTTTACTGCAGCCTTGCACCCCATTGGTTCTCCAATCGTAAAAAAAGTATGTCAATAAATACATAGGTTTGATTAAACAAAGTCAAATTTCGATTTAAAGCTTTCGTGACTGCAGGGATTCATCATCGTCTTCTGAAGACGGCAAGCAGCCGTCTTCAGAAGACTTCAGAAGACGGCTGCTTGCGTTGTAGCCGAAACGTCGTGAGAATTATTTTATTTTATTATGTTTTATTTTTATTATTTTATTACTTCCCTTCTACGTGACTTTACCGAAAGAACCAAGAAGATAAACAAAGTCAGTTGTGTACTTATATGCCCGCGCTTAATTTGCGTTTCGATGATTTACCTTCTATAAAAATCTGGCCATGTCTCGCACAGCCAGAAAGGGCATCCCACTCCCCCAGGATGTGCGTGCACCCCGGGTTAAGATGAACCACTGGTTACGAGTTTTTGACTGCTATACATTTCCGCATGATAAGCCACTACTCTGTTGAGCTGCTGTCATTTGTGATAGCCAGGTCGCGTCTTAAAAGGAGCTACTAATATAGCTCAGTAGTGGGGCCTTACCTGGCAAAAGAAAAAGTCAAATAAAATATATAGGCTGTGTCGGGTGATGGTGACGGTGATGGGTGAACACATTTATATTCATGCCATCTAACCCAAGAAAAACACCTTTGCTGTGAACTTTTTGGCCAATCCATTAACGCCCCCACCCCTTCCCTCCCTATGAAGGTTTCTTGGCTTCGTTTGGAAGTTGGTGACTGATGTTGTTGAGACCTCACGGACGACCCATGTCTCTGTTGCGATAAATGTTGTTTGTGCTTTTTTTGTTGTTTTGGTGCCATTTAATTTGTTTTTAGATTTCTGTTGCTTGCTTCGTCAGGGTTCTTGCTTGCTCGATGTTGTAGTGGCTGCATGCTGGGATTTTGCCCTCATGCGTAATTAATGCACGGTGCTATTGGGGTCCTATTGGGTTGAATGACGCAACGTGAAATGACCGCATTGTCAAATTCAGGATGGTGGTTGTTGAAGACTTTTCCGTCAGACTGCAAACGTAATAATAAAACGTCTCGTTGGCCCCAAATCTGAGCAATTCTGATTGAAGCTGCCCACCGGTGGGCAGCAACCGAGGATAATGACTTCCAATCCGATTGGTTTAATCCGTCACCGGTGACGATCGTCGGCAACGATTGCCCGGAAATTGCCCGAGTGTACATAGTTAAGTGAACCCTCTTCATCCCCTGTGGGATGCGGTTGCTTTGGGAGGGCCAGACCAAATCATTTTGTGGGCCTCATACGGCCTGCGGGCTGGACGTTCCCCTCCCCTCACGTAGGGTAACATAAAACGGAAGGTGGGGTGGCTGTCGTATCACGAACCGTAAACCAGCCCCACTCGATTTACATTTGATGCCTTCGAGTTTGTGGATCGCGGATTTGCCGACTGCGTTTCTATTCACAGGAACGTAACCCCTGCCCACGATGGGAAAGGGTTTAGTGCACTGTTCATCAAGCATCTTCGGGACAAGACGCAGGAATTCCGAATGAGAACAATGACTCGGTCCGATCTCTTAATTCCAGTTTTATCATCTTGTATCGCAAATGCAAGTACAGAAATTCCTCATCAACCGCGTGGGGGGGTTAGGTTCCTGGAAAATTGCGCGGTAGGAAAATCACCGGTTGGTAAAATACAGAGAGCCTGTGATAAATAGGGGGTTAGTGGGACCACAGCCGCAGTCAGACTCATCATAGCTTAACTAAGTTGCCCGTTTATTCACTAAACACCGAATTAAATACGATACATTACGCAACATAACATAACACAAATATTCTATTAACTTTACATAACTTGAATGTTAACGACGTTGATGATGAGATGTCGGAGGAAGGGCTGACTAGGAGCAAGAGGTCCTTAGCCCACCGTCTTACTACGGGGCCACGGACACAACCCTCACTCACCCTCACCACTCACTACCACACTTCGGCTCCATGATTAAGGGGGTAAAAGTAACCCGAATGTGGTTGCAATGCGACGCCATCTGCGCGCGACGAGAATTACAGGACAGCACTACGATACAACAAAACGGATGGGAAGCCGATCAGCCGCGCAGCGCCACGGCCACACAATGACGTCACAAGAGACAATGACGTCATGCTGTAAAGCAACGACGTAATACCCACGCCCGCGGTTGGAAAGTTGGTATACAGGTGTTGTGACACAGTGCTGACTGCTGTACAGCAGTTGCAACTGCAGGTAGACACTTAGCGCACATGCCGTTGAGCATATACACAGGTGTGCCGGCAGCGCGGATGAACTGGGGCAAGGGTCACGGTAGACCTTGTGGGGAGGGGCCCCTGGAACTATCTCTGGTGGGTTCGACAAGGGAGGCGTGGCTAGGGCGGAGCCAAGCCACTCCTAGGGGAATATAAGCAGCAGAGAGCGAGAGCTCTGGGCTGCCAGTTCTGGGAGTGGACTCGTCTCGTCGTCACTGTCGTCGCCGCCGCCTTCGCCCGATCATTGTGCGGCCGGACAGTAGTTGGCTGTCCCGGTTAACGCTGTCGGTGCAACGCGGACAGGGTCATGTCTGGGTCGGGTTGTACGGCAGCGTGGTCGTGAGTGAGAGAGGGGGCCGGAGTTGGTGGCGGTGGAAAGTAACATGGGAAGGACGGTGCCTCCTGCGACTACCTCGTCTCCGACTGAGTGTGTGTGCCGCACGCCACCCGCACACACACAAGCCTCGCCGAGGAAGAAGAGACCTACGACACTACACAGGTAATAAACCGTGTGTGCATGGAACCATGGGGTGGCCAACCCGTAACAGACTACGAGCCAAAAAGGAGCCGTGTGTTCTGCAAAGTGCCAAGTCTATACATATATAAGTGTGTGTATATAGACAGTTTTTGCCATAGCACGGTAGACATGTCCTTGCCGCTGTAATAGTGCGTTCTATGTTATGCCCCTTAGAGAGAGCCGCATGTGGTGGAATAAAGATCTGCATGCGGCTCAGGAGAAGCCGGTTAGCCACCGCTGCACTCCACTATACACTACACCACTATACACTACACTATTCTACACTACGCAACTGTACTGCATTGAGAACTCATTTCTTTAGAACTGCTATTTGTGTTTAGTTTGTTGTCCTTCCCCCGCACCTCCCGATAATCACAGTTGCCTATGTACGGCGCGAAAGAAGTTCGACATCCCCCACGGGCACCGCCAAATCGTCCAATTTTCAGAAAAGAACTCGCTTCATACACCGCTCTCCGTAGCCCCTGCGACTCCGCATCACTCGGGCGAACCTCCCGAACATCGTTAGTCCACCCCCTCGCCCAGCCGGGGCTCGCAACCGGCAGCATCTTCAGCTGCCCCGCTGCGCCACTGATGGGCGTAGGGAAGGATCCCCTCCATCTCCATCCGCAGGCACGCCTGGCCATGTCTCGTGACCGGCAGCGTCGCCGTGTCCCCTCTCCGACGTGAAAGGGGCCACAGACCGACATCCGCCGCCGCCGCCGCCATCGTAGTCATCGTCGTCACCACCGCCGTCATCACCGCTGCCGCCGTTGTCACCGCCGCCGTTGTCGCCACCGCCGTCGTCACCGTCTCCGCCGTCATCACCGCCATCGTCACCGCCATCGTCCGCGTCACCGGCAACGGCCGCTTGTCCTCCCCGAATCCCTGCTGCCAACGCCGCCACCGCCGCCTCCGTCTTCGCTGCCCCTCGGGCGATCGTCCTTCCACAGGCCACGCAACTCCGGCGCCCCTTCCCGCCCCGGCGCCGGGCCAGCGCGGAGCGCCCTGGCGCCGCCCTCCCGCAGGTGGGGCACGCGCGGGCCCTCGCCCTGGCGTGGGTCTCCCGGTGAGCCAGGAGTCCACCCGACTGCGCGAACGCCTTGCCACACTCACCGCACGCGTACGGCCGCTCGCCCGTGTGCGTCCGCCGGTGCGCCGACAGCGTGCCCGAGTTGGCGAACGCCTTGCCGCACTCGGCGCACGCGTACGGTCGCTCGCCCGTGTGCGTCCTGTTGTGGCTGCGCAGGTGCTCGGCGCGGCCGAAGGTGGCGCCGCACACGGAGCACTGGTAGGCGTTCTCGCCCGTATGGATCATCTGGTGGCCGCGGAAGTGGTCGACGCGGGTGAAGCCCATGCCGCACACGTCGCAGCGGTACGGCTTCTCGCCGGCGTGCACCCTCTGGTGCGTCGCGAGGGCCTCGGCCTGGGCGAACCCCTTCCTGCACACAGGGCACCGGTGAGGCCTCTCCTCCACGTGGAGGCGCTGGTGGACGCGGAAGTCCTCCGGCTCGGCGAAGGCCTCCCCGCACGTGCGGCACTTGTAGGGCTTCTCACCGACGTGCGTCTTCTGGTGGCTGATGAGGACGAAGGGCTTGTCGGTCTTGTACGGGCACAGGGTGCACTGGTACAAGATGGGCTCGGTGCGCCCTCCGTGCCGCTTCAAGTGGTCCTCCAGTGCCTGCGGGCTGACCACCACCCAGTTGCACACCGGGCAGCAGATCCTTGTCCCCTCCGCTTCCGCGCTGGCGCTCATCGTGTCCCCGTGTTCGGCACTGGCGGTGGGCGATCGGCAGTGGGCAAAGAGCAAGGAAACGAGAAGGGAAATTAATCCCCTCCCCCTTTAGCGTCTTGAATCATCCTGTTCCCCTTCCGATGACGTACACGGAAGACAAAATCAAATAACTTTATCGGTAGGTGAGGCCTCCACAAGGCCATGCGGGGGAGGGCCGTTTTGGTGCCGGCTATCGTAGAGTGTACCGGTTGTGTCGCTACTCTTCTCTGCGGTGAGTAACGACATCTTTAAAAACAGCGGCACTACGACTATGCCTCTCTCTATAAACTTAAGGCTGAGCCGCTTGCACGTTCCGCGAGGTGAACGGGACACCCACCCTGCAACATGCAGACGTCTCAGAACGGGAAAGGGTTAAAAAAATAATCTAAATGAAGTGCAGAAACGCACTGATTTACGCCCTCCCGCTTTACCTACTTTCGCCATAACATACTCAGCTTATTCTATGTACGTACATATGTTGAACTTTTTTTCCACCGCACTTTGCCAGCTGCACTAATCGGAGGTGCGGAGGAAAGGAGAACAATCTATTTGATTTAAAATTGCATAGCTCCAGTGGCTTTCTAAAATTTAAAGAGTGTTCCAGACGGCCGCAGAAGTGCACCTGAAAGTGAGCGATGCGGTGACCGTTTTTGTTCGATGGTTAGCCAGAAGCCACTACTGCTGTGAGGATGACCGTAGTTTGCGTGATGGTTTGTGGTTCATTTGTGACAAGCACTTAATGTGTAATGAGTGTGACCTTATAAAATGTAATGGTGGCGATGATGGTTTGTATTGATGGTGGTGATGGTAGCGGTGATGGTGGTGGTGGTGATGATGGTGACCACTAGACAGGTTTTGCAGGATTGGAAGAATGCTCTGGTGGTCCCCCTCGTTAACAAGGGGGACCGCACAGACTATAACAACTACAGGAGCATCTCCCTCCTCAGTGTGCTGGGACAGGTCCTGGCAAAGATTATTCAACATTGCCTTGCCTGGCACACTGAGGAAAGGCTCGCGGAGCCCCAATGTGGTTTCAGGAAAGGGCTGTCCCGGACAGATGTCATATTTTGTCCATCTGCTACAGCAGAGATGTAGGGAATTCCAACAGCACCTACATCTCTGATTTGTTACACCTGGTCAAGGTCTATGACACCATCAATAAGGCCTGGGCTCTGGGTTGTTCTTAATGCTTTCGGAGTCCCTGGCTCTCTGCTCACAACCATGATGGTGGGCAGGCCCGGGTAAAACTATGTGGCCGGGAGTCAGAGCCATTCTCTGTTCACGTTGGGGTGCAAAAGGGATGTCTTCTGGCTCCCACATTATTTAACATCTATTTCGACCACGGAGTTTGTGAATCCTTTGGTGGATGTACTGGAGGAATTTCCATCTGGTACAGATACAATTTGAGGCTGATCGATGCCCAGGTGCGGTCAAGGGATGGCCCCTATTATTCAACCGTGTTATGCATGCTGATCTGGTGATTGCTGCTCACTCAGAGGAGGAGTTGATGCTGAAACTGGTGAGTGCCACTAAGAGATGGGGCCTTACCATCAGCCCCACCAAAGCTAAGCATGTGCCTGGGTATTTTGTACCATCGGACACTCCACCCCCACAACTCAAAATTGGTGATGGGGCAGTTGTGGAGAGAGTGGAGAATTTTCCATACCTGGGCAGTGGTCTCACTTCGAATCAGTCGAGTGGCATTATTTTCTCATCGGCTGTGCAACGCTGTGTGGAAGCTACCTGGTCTGTTGCTCCACACAAAGCTTCGGGTCTTCTCGGCCACGGTCTCTCTCCCACGGTCTCTCCCCCACGGTCTCTCGCCCACGGCCTCTCCCCCACGGCCTCTCTCCCACGGCCTCTCTCCCACGGTCTCTCCCCCACGGTCTCTCACCCACGGCCTCTCCCCCACGGTCTCTCCCCCACGGTCTCTCCCCCACGGTCTCTCCCCCACGGTCTCTCCCCCACGGTCTCTCCCCCACGGTCTCTCCCCCACGGTCTCTCCCCCACGGCCTCTCCCTCACGGTCTCTCTCCCACGGTCTCTCCCCCACGGTCTCTCCCCCACGGTCTCTCACCCACGGTCTCTCGCCCACGGTCTCTCACCCACGGCCTCTCCCCCACGGCCTCTCACCCACGGTCTCTCTCCCACGGTCTCTCCCCCACGGTCTCTCCCCCACGGTCTCTCCCCCACGGTCTCTCACCCACGGCCTCTCCCCCACGGCCTCTCCCCCACGGTCTCTCCCCCACGGCCTCTCCCCCACGGTCTCTCTCCCACGGTCTCTCTCCCACGGTCTCTCACCCACGGCCTCTCCCCCACGGCCTCTCCCCACGGTCTCTCACCCACGGTCTCTCCCCCACGGCCTCTCCCTCACGGTCTCTCCCCCACGGCCTCTCCCCCACGGCCTCTCCCCCACGGCCTCTCCCCCACGGTCTCTCCCCCACGGCCTCTCCCCCACGGTCTCTCACCCACGGTCTCTCTCCCACGGTCTCTCCCCCACGGCCTCTCCCCCACGGCCTCTCCCCCACGGTCTCTCCCCCACGGTCTCTCCCCCACGGTCTCTCACCCACGGTCTCTCACCCACGGCCTCTCCCCCACGGCCTCTCCCCCACGGTCTCTCACCCACGGTCTCTCCCCCACGGTCTCTCACCCACGGCTTCTCCCCCACGGTCTCTCACCCACGGTCTCTCCCCCACGGTCTCTCACCCACGGTCTCTCCCCCACGGTCTCTCTCCCACGGCCTCCCCCCCACGGCCTCTCTCCCACAACCTCCGCTCCCTCCCCGTCGGCTTCCTTCCGTCGCGTGCGAATGACGTGGGGGGGGGGAGGAAAAGTGGGAGCAAGCAACGCCGGCGTGACGTCACGAGCGGTTGGGATGATGACGTCACGACCGGTGGAGGACGAGGTGACGTGACGTCACGACCGATGGGGTGGGGGCGAAGAGACGTGACGTCAATGGCAACGAAGGGCGTGACGTGTCTGCAAACAGTGAGACGTGACGTCGTGCGATGCGGTAGACAATTTGGTCGCTGGATAGATGACATGGCCTCGCCTTTAACCTCCCGAACACTGCCCCATAGACTCAACACTACCCATAGACTCAACACTGCCCATAGACTCAACACTACCCATAGACTCAACACTACCCATAGACTCAACACTGCCCATAGACTCAACACTACCCATAGACTCAACACTGCCCATAGACTCAACACTACCCATAGACTCAACACTGCCCATAGACTCAACACTGCCCCATAGACTCAACACTACCCATAGACTAACACTACCCATAGACTAACACTACCCATAGACTAACACTACCCATATACTCAACACTACCCATAGACTAATACTACCCATAGACACAACACTAACCATAGACTCAACACTACCCATAGACTCAACACTGCCCATAGACTCAACACGACCCATAGACTCAACACTGCCCATAGACTCAACACTACCCATAGCCTCAACACTGCTACCCATAGACTCAACACTGCCCATAGACTCAACACTACCCATAGACTCAACACTGCCCATAGACTCAACACTACCCATAGCCTCAACACTGCTACCCATAGACTCAACACTGCCTAGATTTAACAATCATTCACCCAGATTCCATTTGTTGGGGGTGTGCGAGAAATGGACAGATTTTTTTAAAGGTAAATCTTAAACACAAACTAAGCATGGGCACGTAAGTCCACAATTTGTTTCATCAAGCCCTGCGTATTTATTAACATGATACATTTTTTGTAAGGATTGAGAACCAACGGGGTGCAAGGCTGCAGATAAGGTTAAGAACGACCGCTCTAGAGTGTTTACCAGAGGTGGGACAAAGTCATTGTTATGCAAGTCCAAGTCGAGTCTGAAGTCATCAAATTCATGACTCGAGTCTGACTCGAGTCCAAGTCACATGACTCGAGTCCACACCCCAGAGGTGGGACAAAGTCATTGTTATGCAAGTCCAAGTCGAGTCTGAAGTCATCAAATTCATGACTCGAGTCTGACTCGAGTCCAAGTCACATGACTCGAGTCCACACCCCAGAGGTGGGACAAAGTCATTGTTATGCAAGTCCAAGTCGAGTCTGAAGTCATCAAATTCATGACTCGAGTCTGACTCGAGTCCAAGTCACATGACTCGAGTCCACACCCCAGAGGTGGGACAAAGTCATTGTTATGCAAGTCCAAGTCGAGTCTGAAGTAATCAAATTCATGACTCGAGTCTGACTCGAGTCCAAGTCACATGACTCGAGTCCACACCCCAGAGGTGGGACAAAGTCATTGTTATGCAAGTCCAAGTCGAGTCTGAAGTCATCAAATTCATGACTCGAGTCTGACTCGAGTCCAAGTCACATGACTCGAGTCCACACCCCAGAGGTGGGACAAAGTCATTGTTATGCAAGTCCAAGTCGAGTCTGAAGTCATCAAATTCATGACTCGAGTCTGACTCGAGTCCAAGTCACATGACTCGAGTCCACACCCCAGAGGTGGGACAAAGTCATTGTTATGCAAGTCCAAGTCGAGTCTGAAGTCATCAAATTCATGACTCGAGTCTGACTCGAGTCCAAGTCACATGACTCGAGTCCACACCCCAGAGGTGGGACAAAGTCATTGTTATGCAAGTCCAAGTCGAGTCTGAAGTCATCAAATTCATGACTCGAGTCTGACTCGAGTCCAAGTCACATGACTCGAGTCCACACCCCAGAGGTGGGACAAAGTCATTGTTATGCAAGTCCAAGTCGAGTCTGAAGTCATCAAATTCATGACTCGAGTCTGACTCGAGTCCAAGTCACATGACTCGAGTCCACACCCCAGAGGTGGGACAAAGTCATTGTTATGCAAGTCCAAGTCGAGTCTGAAGTCATCAAATTCATGACTCGAGTCTGACTCGAGTCCAAGTCACATGACTCGAGTCCACACCCCAGAGGTGGGACAAAGTCATTGTTATGCAAGTCCAAGTCGAGTCTGAAGTCATCAAATTCATGACTCGAGTCTGACTCGAGTCCAAGTCACATGACTCGAGTCCACACCCCAGAGGTGGGACAAAGTCATTGTTATGCAAGTCCAAGTCGAGTCTGAAGTCATCAAATTCATGACTCGAGTCCAAGTCACATGACTCGAGTCCACACCTCTGGTGTTTACCAAAGTTTAAAGTCCGTTGCACGTTATCCATCCATGCATGTTGCTTCGCCCATACCTCCAGATCGCCAAAGGTCCCCAAAAGGCGTTGTTTCAAAATTTGGTTTGGTGTCTTCTCCACCGTTGGATGATAGGGTGGTGAGATGTTAACTACATCGTCTGGTATACAGGTCGTGGGTTCAATCCCAGCTCTGACACGGGCTGCTGTATATGTGGAATTTGCACGTGTCTCTCTCCCCGTGGTGCACGTGTCTCTCTCCCCGTGGTTCACGTGGATTTTCTCCGGGTCCTCCAGTTTCCCCTTCCCACCCCCCGACATTTAGAATCAACATCACCAGGCGTTTAGAAGGGGCCGTCCATAAATGACGTCACACACCTAGGGGGGGGGGGGGGGTCAGACATTTGTGGTGATGTGTGACGAGGGGGGGGGGGGTTAATAAATGTGACGTCACATCAAAATGCACAACTTTAAATAAATATAGACAACACGTTCTACTTAATTAAATACTTTTTTATAAGTGTTTTCTCCTACATCATCAGAGTGCAGCGCAACATTAAATATGCACTACAATGACAATAGTTTAACGCGATTTGAAGCATGTTTTATTTTAGGATTTTGGGGGGGGGGGAGGCAATTTGTGACGTCATATGTGAGAGGGGGGGTCTGACTTTTTGTGACGCCGTGTGACGAAGGGGGGGGGGGGTAAGAAATCGTCCAAAATCGATAGACGTCATTTATGGAGTATAATTTGTGATGGTCAGGTCGCTTGCGAAAAAGAGCTACATGGCTCAGTGGTGGGCCTTACCTGGTAAAGTAAAACAAAGAGTCTACGTAGTTTTCACTTCACGTGTATCTGTTCAGAGGAAAAGATATTGCCTCCACGTTGTGTACCTTAACAGTCGTGCAGACGCGCTTGCGCCATTTCGAACGGCCGATGTATCGCGCGGCATTTTCTCAACATTTATCTCTCTCGGTTATGTTGTATATATTATTTTGAAAAAGAAACATATAAATAATAAATGCCATTTCAAGAAATTATGCAAATTTAAGAAATTATGCAAATGTTTGTAATTATGTAAATTAGGCTAGGCTTCGTTGTCTATGGGTGTATTACCAATCGTGATAATGCCATGATTCTCGCTTCAACTTTTACTGATTATGTTTTAGTGTAATTATTTCCAGTCTTGGGACTCAGAGCTCGCTGCAGGATACAGTTCATATAATTAAAATTAATATGCATGAACTTAGGAAGGAACCACTCAGACTCTGCTGTGTTAAGTAACTTGAACATCTAAAAACACTCTAATATGCGAACACACTTATGATCGGAATTGCCACAACAGTACTCCTGAAGATGTCCTACTCATCAATCCGTCCAATTTACCCTCAATGGTTACATTGTTAGACTGAGCAATAGAACAATAGGCTAACTCTTCATAGTAAAGCAACAATACACAACGATAGGAAAGTCCTTAAAAGTGACAATATTCATATGGAAACGTGCTAAATAAACATGTGCCCAATGGCAAAAAGGGGGCATCAACCAATTAATTGGCAAGATTATGCAATTAAATAAATATGATTATGGGACCTCCGTTGCCAGTACCAAAATATGAGAATAGGTTTTCCCCTTTTTCTGGCAACAAAACAGGTGTTCAGATGTTAAAACACCAAACTTAAACCTTTTACAAGGAATCGTGCCTGCATTAACCACACGACTAGCTAATAGTGGTCAGAATGCAAAAACAGATTGGTCCACACCAGAGACACCGTTTGAGACTAGGCTTGAAAGAAAGCTGTCTCTATTCATGCGGTTCAAGGGAGAGAACAATGCTTTTCATGACTAGCTAATAGTTAACACACCACCTTGGGATGGCAACCCTTTTCGAAACAAAACTTCCCACATAGACCTCAACATCCGTTCCCAAAACAGAGACTCGGCCTCCCGTGTGCCACCTTCACCCCAGCCGCGTCTCACAGCCGGGGATTTCTTCCCGTTCCTGCTTCACGATCGAGAAGGGAACTGAAGAATCCTCCCCCCCCAGTTCTACCTTCACCCCTGGCCAAGTCTCGACGCTGGCGATCCCATCGTGCTCCCGCTTCACGATCGACAGGGAGGCGGAAGGATCTTCACCGTCGCATTCCACCTTAACCCCCGGCCACGTCTCGAAGCTGAGAGTCTCTCCGTGTTCTGATGTTAGCGATACCGAGGGGGTCGCTGAGGGGATCGCCGAGGGGGTCGTCGCGGGACCCTCGCCCCCGAGGCTTGCCACGACCTGCCCAGTGGCAGTCGCACCCTCGTGGAGCCCGGTCCTCTCGCGGGTGTGGCGGCGCGCCTGGAGGCTCCCCGACCCGGAGGAGGCCTTCCCGCGTTTGGGGCACGCGAAGGGCCTCCCGCCCGCGTGCGTCCTCTTGTGCACGTGGAGGGTGCCCAAGTGCGTGAACGAGCTGCCGCACACGTCGCACGCGTACGGCCTCTCGCCCGTGTGGGTGCGCTTGTGGATGCGCAGGGTGCCCGACTGGGCGAAGGACTTGCCGCACGTGGAGCACCTGTACGGCCTCTCGCCTGTATGGGTCCTCGCGTGTATGACGAGGCCCCTCGACTGGACGAATCGCTTCCCGCACGCCGCGCACCCATAGGGCTTCTCTTCCGCGTGGGTCTTCTCGTGGTTGAAGAGCGTCCCCGACTGCTTGAATGCCTTGCCACATGTGGCGCACCTGTACGGCTTTTTGCCCGTGTGGATCCGCTTGTGGGCGACGAGGACGGCCGAGTGAGTGAACGTCTTGCCGCACACGGTGCATGCGTACGGCTTCTTGCTTGTGTGGATCCTCTGGTGGTTGAGGAGGTGGTGCGACTGAGTGAAGTCCTCCCCGCAGACGTTGCAGCAGTAGGGCCTCTCGTCTGCGCGGATCCTCCTGTCCGGTGAGACGTCTCCTGGCGGTGGGGAGAACGCCTTCCCGCGTCGCGCCCGCTTCATATGCACGCTCTGATGGGAGCAGAAGTCTCCCGAATTCGCGAAAACTTCATCGCACACCCAGCACTTGTAGGGCTTATCGTCAGCGTGGCTCCTCTGGTGGCCGATCAAAGTGGCCGCTTTGTCCGTGCTGTACGGGCAGTGGGGGCACTGGTACAGCACGGACTCGGTCCGGCGCCTGTGCTGCTTCATGTGGTCCTCCAGGGCGGACAGGCTGATCACCACCCAGTTGCAAATCGGGCAGTAGATCTTCATCTCTCCTCCCTCGTTCATCGTTCCTGTCCTGGCACTGCGGCAAAGAGTGAGGCACACGAAGGAAAATTAATCTCCCCCGCCCTGCCCCTGTGAAGTATCGTAAACAAGTTTAACACGTAGGCTTTCGCGACCAATATTAATTCATTATTATGAATATCGCAAACAAGCTAGAAACCACGAACACCAGTTGCTAACCGTCGAACACAGACAGTGGTCGCCGCTGCGTCGCGTGGCACTTTCAGATGCTGCTGCTGCTGCTTGTGGCGGATGTCTGGAACACTCTTCCTCTCCGGTATGAGGAAGCCACTGGCAGCGACGATGCACTTTTAAATCATCATAAAAATTGACAAACTAATTTCTTTAGAACTGCTGCTTTTTGATGTGTTGTCCTTTCCCAGCACCTCCGATTAGCGCGGTTAGCAACTGTTCTGTTGTTATTTTGCTGCCTTGCCCAATCTTGATAAATCGGACTTAAACTCATATCGTGTGTTTGTGTGTATCGTGTTTGCCGTTGAAAATCGCTGACTCTCCATGCTCATACTGGACATATGTAGAAAAGAGCTTAATAGCTCATTGGATTCCTTCTCCTGCAGTCACAATAAAGATTCTGATTCTGACTGAGATGATGAGCAGATGCACCACCTGTGCCCCCTACTGTGCAAACTTGCTGCGTTTTAGTCGCACGGCGCTCTGCTCGTTGTTGTGAGCGTCGCTCCTCTACCCTACGTTGTTGCTGGAGGGCGACTGCCTCCAACTGCCCAGTAGCAGCGTCCTTCACGAGCCTCCTCCTCCACAGAGGCCGATCTTGACACCTCTGGTACCAGGCATCGGCAAGTCCACTCAGCTCCACATCCTCCTGTACCGCATCAACGCCATCTTATCCCCAGCCCGTACCGCACCCGTTTAGCCCCCCTCTATCCGGCCGCCAAAGAGAAGCTGCTTGGGCGTGCGGTGGCTGGGCATGCGGGCTACATGACCCAGTCAAAGCAGCCTTGGAGGAGCTCGCCGATGATAGGGACCCTGTCCAGATCTTTGTGAGCTCCTCACACTGCGACTCAGCCTGCAGGTTAAACCCACAATGGATCGTGGGCATGGCCGGCCTGCAAGTTGCAAACCGGCGCAGACACAACAACAAAAACCGCCATTCGCCACAAAGTGGCGGTGACGTCACCACGGCGCCTGTGGCAGGCTAGGTGCACTTTGAGGCCGTCACGTGAAGTGTCGAGGGCTCACTGCTGGCAGGAGGACAGAGATGCAGACCCGAAAATTAAAACGATCCCTGGTATAGAATTTGACTTAAAACTTTCGAGACCGCAGGAATTCACATTCTTTGGTTCTTTCGGTAGTCACGTAGATAGAAAATAAGGGGCCGTCCATAAATGACGTCACACACCTAAGGGGGGGAGGGGGGTCAGACATTTGTGGTGATGTGTGACGAGGGGGGGGGGGAGGTTTTAGAAATGTGATGTTACGTCAAAATGCACAACTTTAAATAAATATAAATATAATTATTATAACAACACTAATTTAGATTAATTTTCATTATTAACTATTTGATTATTTACATTTACTAAGGTCACCTTTTATTTATTCCATGAAGGAGCATTTTGCTTCTGCATGGGAGAATGGAGAAGCATAAATTTTGTAATTTTTTTTAATGAATGTAATTAAACATTTTGATTTAAATTATTCTACCAGGGCTTTTCATTCTGTGGAATTCGTGTGATTGTTATAATTGTACTCTCCATTTTGCTTCGTTCTACCACAAAGTTTCAAGTATTTTTTTATAGTTATAATTATTTTTAATAATTTATAATAAGAGAATTTCTATATCATATTCTGAACATCTGCAGTTTTAGTTAGACGTTGAATATTTTCAAGTGAATTTTATGCTAAATTTCAGCTTCCCAACGCCTCCTTTTTAATGTTTTCTCCTACAACATCAGAGTGCAGCGCCACATTAAATACGCACTACAATGGCAATAGTTTAAAGCGATTTGAAGCATGTTTTATTATCAAAATGTAAAGATGGTTTGTGGGGGGGGCAAAGCTTTGTGACGTCATATTTGAGGGGGGTCTGACTTTTTGTGACGCCATGTGACGGGGGGGGGGTCAAAAATAGGCCAAAATCGCGTGACGTCATTCATGGACGGCCCCTAAAAATGTAACTAAAAATAAAAGCAAAAAACCCCCGACGTTTCGATCGCAACACAAGCAGTCTTCATCAGGCGGAGAGAAAAGAAGACCGCTTGTGTTTTTATTGTTTAAATCTTTATTTTGTATCTACCGAAATAACCAAAGAATATCCCTCGTGTAGCCTTACCAGACTGTTGGGGCAAGTGCTGTTAGCGAGCACCTACGAAGGCCAGAACGGCACACGGGGGGGGGGGGTGGCCAACATCACGCCCGGCCGCCTTTGTCTCTCCCCCAGTGGCGATGTTGAACTTCACAACGCTACAAAAGACGCACAACCACGCAGAGATACGGAGGCCTGGATTCTCTGTATCTGTGCGTGACGTCACCCAACCCAGTCCGTGACGTCACTCATTGCGTCCACAGGCCCCTCCCCCCGGGCGGTGGTAACATGACGTAACGCACACAGGCGCGATTGACGACACGACGTCAGTGACGTCAGTGGCCAGGTTGTGCCTCCAAGCACTTGAGGGGTGGACAAAATAACAGAGAGTGGCTCTTAGAATGATGGGGGCATTGGGGCATGGCGGTGAGGTGTGGGAAGCTGTGAACCCCAGGCTACTGTGGGCTTTGCTTCTTCATCAATGGGAGGCAAGACATGGTGGTGGTGACTTACGCCCAACAAAGATGAACATCAGTCAACGCTGATGAGTTTACATGACCTTTATGACCTCCTGTGCTGGCTAGATAGGTGACTCTATAAATGGGTGCTTTGGCACGCGGCTCAACGTTGTGATGATTAGCATATGTTGTATAAAGTGTGATTTTCTTAGTTTAGATTGGACCAAGGGCAAAAACAAATAGCAAGTGTTCATCCGGTGGCTTAGTTTGTTGTATTTGTGTACTTTCTTGAAACGTAAACCCAATAGTTTGTCAGTTAAAAAGCGTTACATGGCAGGCATGGACACAGAGAGACAGACAGCCAAAACAATTGACTTGATCGTATTTGTTACAGTTCAGTATTACATGCAAATGTACGACGTTTCCTCTTAATTTACGAGGTGTTAACAGTGCATTAACCTTTTTGTTGCGTTGAACCGTAACACGTTTCACAACACCGACCATGCGGGCATTGAAATATGGCGCTGTACACGACTTACGAACCGTGCAATGTTACAAACGGAGGGCGGGGTCAGATGGAGCTCGTGAAGGTGGTGGGCAGAGGGGTGACTCGGTGGAACCCGACATGTCACGGACGTTTGTGCATGCGCCTCTTCCCCCTGTTGCGAGAAGCCGGGAGCTCAGGCTGCGAGCTGTGGCCGGGCGTGAAGATGGAATCCTGCGGCGAAGATCCTGGCCTCTCACCCAGTCGCTCGCGAAGCAGCAAACCGAGGAAGGCGCCGGCTGTGAGACCGGCGCGGGCGTGAAACTAAAAAGCGGAGGTCGAGATTCGACCGTCTCCCCGTTGAGTGTGAAGTGAGGGGGGGACGGGCGTCTTGCGTGGAGTAGGACATTCTATCGATGGTCGAGCACGACCGAACGTGGCCACAATGCATTCCTCCCGCCCGCGAGACCGCGCCGTTTGTGAATTACCAACGGAGTCGTCCGAGAAAAATTAAGTGGCAGCAAATTTGCTTCGCTGGACAAGCTGCAATCTCAACCGGCTCTGCCGCAAGCTTCTGAGAACTTATTTAGTATTTGTTGTTGTTTCCCTTCCCCTGAAGTGCGTGATGTGAAGCCTCCCCAAGGTGCACCACCGGTTACTCGTCGAATACACATACGCTACCATAATCGTGTAAGTTCTAATGAGTCTAGACCAGTGGTTTTACTTCTTAACCTGCGGTGCACACCTGGGTGCGAGATGCCCTTTTCTGGGGGTAGCGAGACATGGCAGAATCTTTTTAAGAAGGGTAAATCATCGAAACAGACTCAACACTACCCATAGACTCAACACTGTCTACAGACTTAACACTCATTCACCCACTCACCTATTCCCCTGTCCAATCCCATGAGAGCAGTGGTTATTAAACTGGAGTGCACGCACCACCTGAGGGTGCGAGATTCCCTTTGTTGGGGGTGTGCGAGAAATGGGCAGGTTTATTTTTAGACGGTAAATAATCAAAAACACAAATTAAGCACGGGCACGTAAGTAAACAACTTTGTTCCATCAAGCCCTGCATATTTATTAACATACTTTTTTACCATTGAGAACCAACGGGGTGCAGTGAAGGTTAATAACCACCGCTCTAGAGTGTTTACCAAAGTTTAAAGTGCGTTGCACGTTATCCATCCATGCCTGTTGCGTCGCCCACACCTCCAGATCGCCAAAGGTCCCAAAAAGGTGTTGATTCAAAATTTGGTTTGGTGCCTTCTCCGCCTTTGGGTGACATGGTGGCGAGATGTTAACTACCTCGTCTGGTATACAGGAGGTCGTGGGTTCAATCCCAGCTCTGACATGGCCTGCTGTATATTTGGAATTTGCACGTGTCTCTCTCCCCGTGGTTCGCGTAGATTTATCCCCAGGTCCTCCGGTTTCCACCCCCCCCTCCCCCCCCGACATTTAGAATCAACATCACCAGGCGTTTAGAGAGTATTTGGCTGCTGATATAAGTGTCCACGTGATGATAGGCCACTTCGTTGAGGTATCATTTGTGATGGCCAGGTCACTTCTGTTAGACTGAGCAATAAAACAATAGGCTAACTCTTCATAGTAGCGCGACAATACACGATAGGATAAGTCCTTAAAAATAACAGTATTCATACGGAACCGCGCGAAAAAAACATGTGCCCAATGGCAAAAGTGGACATCAATGAATTAATTGGTAAGATTATGAGTGTGTGTTTGGCTAACAGATGCTTATCAATTGACTAATGGGACATCAATGAATTCGCGGGCAAAATTCCGTGATTAAAATAAATATCTCAAAACAATAGTATTCGTGTGTGTAGATTCGTAACATAGATGCTTATAAATGTTTAGTGTGTCATCAATGAGTTCATTGGTAATATTACGTGATAAAAGAAAACTAATGACTAAAATACTTCTAAATGACCGTATTCATGCATATATTATGAGAGTGTTTTCTGTTTGCATGACATGATTCCTTGTAAAAGGTTTCAGTTTGGTGTTTTAACATCTTAACCCCTGTTTTGTTGCTAGAAAAAGGGGAAAACCTATTCTCATAATGACCAAAATACTTCTAAACGACCGTATTCATGCGGTTCAAAGGACAGAACAATGCTTTTCACGACTAGCGAATAGTTAACACACCACCTGGGGATGGCAACCCTTTTCGAAACAAAACTTCTTGGAACAATCTTATTCATACCGATATGCGCGTTGTATGTGTGTGTTGGACCACAGTCACCACGAGGTCCAATAATTATAGCGGGCAGTATGGTTTGAGTTATCCACGTACTATTCCTGCTAACTGTCCTGCTGAGGTCAAAGGTGAACTTCGTAGTGCAGCGTTCCTTGTACCGAAAATACGTCAGGTTCCCAGCGTGTGTGTCTCGAACACACGGCGTTCTCGGCTGCGCCGTCAGTCTCTCTCCACCGCTGGGGTGGTTGCTGAGTCGCTACGCTGCTCATGCTGGCGGCAGTGCCCGTGCTGGCAGAAATGATGGGTCCGGCTCCTACTGCGTTGATGTGCGCGATGGTCCCGTCGCAAGATAGCGCTCGCAGCTCCTCCGCTGGGTGGCAGCGCGTCACCCCCTTGGCTCCAGACACTGTTGATCCTTGAGCTCGACCTTTGCTGGAGTGTGCTCGGGGCTTCCGATTAAGCACGCCCAAGGATTAACTGCGCGCCCAGATCGATTAACAGTTGGAATGCCTGTGGCCCCGTCGCTCCTCGTCTTGGCAGCTTGCTTCGCGCGAGCATCCTTTGTGCCCCCCACCCTTGCCCCAGGAGGGATCCTGCTGTGAGCTGCTCGTCGGCTGCTCCTCACTCTCCAAAACTCATAAAATGTATTTCTACACCTCTTAGCTTCTCACAACTCTTATAGCTTAGTACAATACAACTTATCGCAGTCCTTGACTCTGCAAGCGACTAAAAACAAGGATAAATGTAGAATAAAACTTTCAGCGATACTCCGTCTGTCAGCGCCGAACTCAATATTTAGCAACACATTGCCCCTCTCTGCAAGACTCGACACCCATGTATGATCGAGGACCATACCCCGTAGCTTGCCGTTGCAAGACTGATTTGGATGGTTCGGCTTCTTTGTTATTTCCGAAATGTTTCACCTCGGCTCGTCTTCTCACAAAGGACCGGAATTCCTTTCATTTCGCTCCTCGGTCTGTGATTGGTCGGTTTCCTTTGACGACGGAAGAACTGTCCATTTGATTGTGACCGTTTGTCCGGTGTACGTGCGTGTCTGTCTGTTCTAATTTTTTGAAGTCATTCCCTAAATCACATCAAGGCCCGACCCCTTTCCCCTTCTTCCAGCAGTCATCTCATGGCCTGTGGACACAGATGCTCTTAATTTCCCCTAAGTGTGGTTCCTTTTGGCCTTTTTTTCGAGGGAGGAGTTCCCAGGTATGCATCACTGCATTTTTTAACGCGCTGAATCCATTTTTATAAGAAAATCTAATAAATAAAAAATAGGCAATATCACTCTTAATATGTTTTTGGAAAAGGAATATATACAACAATGAGCTTCTCGAGTGTTTAATCTCTGCTCCATGAGGCTTGCCCACTCTGCTTAGCCCACATCCTCCACCAGAGCCACCAAATTAACAAAGGTCCCATTCGAGGACTCGCTCTCACTCGACATGCTTGCTTGGAGCCTCCTCCTTCACTCTTCCCACGTAGACCTCAACATCCATTCCTAAAACAGAGACTCGGCCTCCAGTGTGCCACCTTCACTCCAGCCGCGTCTCACAGCCGGGGCTTTCTTCCCGTTCCTGCTTCACAATCGAGAGGGGAACTGAAAAATCTTCCCCACCACATTCTACCTTCACCCCTGTCCATGTCTTGGAGCTGGTGATCCCTTCGCGCTCCCGCTTCACGATCGGCAGGGAGGTGGAAGGATCTTCACCGTCGCATTCCACCTTCACCCCCGGCCAAGTCTCGAAGCTGAGGGTCTCTCCGTGTTCTGATGTTAGCGATGCCGAAGGGGTCGCTAAGGGGGTCACTGAGGGGATCGCCCAGGGGGTCGTTGCGGGACCCTTGCCCCCGAGGCTCGCCACGACCTGCCCAGCGGCAGTCACGCCCTCGTGGAGCCCGGCACTCTTGCGGGCGCTGCGGCGGAGGAGGGGGGGACGGGCCGGCGGCGTCGACGCGCTCGAGCCCGTGCGGGCCTGCCGGCGCGCCCGGAGGCTCGCCGACCCAGAGGAAGCCTTCCCACCTGCGTGCGTCCTCTTGTGCACGTGGAGGGTGCCCAAGTGCGTGAACGAGCTGCCGCACACGTCACACGCGTACGGCTTCTCGCCCGTGTGGGTGCGCTTGTGGATGCCCAGAGTGCCCGACTGGGCAAAGGACTTGCCGCACGTGGAGCACTTGTAGGGCTTCTCGCCCGTGTGGGTCCTCGTGTGTATGACGAGGCCCTTCGACTGGGCGAATCGCTTCCCACACACCGTGCACCCATAAGGCTTCTCTTCCGCGTGGGTCTTCTCGTGGTTGAAGAGCGTCCCCGACTGCTTGAATGCCTTGCCACATGTGGCGCACCTGTACGGCTTTTTGCCCGTGTGGACCCGCTTGTGGGCGACGAAAACGGCCGAGTGAGCGAACGTCTTGCCGCACACAGTGCACGCGTACGGCTTCTTGCTTGTGTGGATCCTCTGGTGGTTGAGGAGGTGGTGCGACTGAGTGAAGTCCTCCCCGCAGACATTGAAGCAGTAGGGCCTCTCGCCCGCGTGGTTCCTCTCGTCTGGTGAGACGTCTCCTGGCGGTGGGGCGAATGCCTTCCCGCGTGGCGCCTGCTTCATGTGCACGCTCTGATGGAAGCATAAGTCTCTCGAATTCAGGAAAACTTCATCACACACCGAGCACTTAAAGGAAGAATCCTCCCCCCCACATTCTACCTTCACTCCTTGCCACGTCTCAGAGCTGGCGATCCCTCCGTGCTCCCGCTTCACGATCGGCAGGGTGGTGGAAGGATCTTCACCGTCACATTCCATCTTCACCCCCGGCCATGTATCGAAGCTGAGAGTCTCTCCGTGTTCTGATGTTCGCGATGCCCAAGGGGTCGCCGAGGGGGTCGCCGAGAGGGTCGCCGAGAGTGTCCCCGCGGGACCCTCGCCCCCGAGGCTCGCCACGACCTGCCCAGCGGCAGTCACGCCCTCGTGGAGCCTGGCCCTCCCGCCGGTGCAGCGGCGGAGGAGGGGGGGATGGGCCGGCGCCGTCGATGCGCTCGAGCCCACGCGGGCTTGCCGCTGCGCCCGGAGGCTCCCCGACCCGGAGGAGGCCTTCCCGCGCGTGGGGCATGCGGAGGGCCTCCCGCCCGTGTGCGTCCTCTTGTGCACGTGGAGGGTGCCCACGTGCGTGAACGAGCTGCCGCACACGTCACACGCGTACGGCCTCTCGCCCGTGTGGGTGCGCTTGTGGATGCGCAAGGTGTCCGACTGGGCGAAGGACTTGCCGCACGTGGCGCACCTGTGAGGCCTCTCGCCCGTGTGGGTCCTCGCGTGTCTGACGAGGCCCTTCGACTGCGCGAATCGCTTCCCGCATGCCGCGCACCCGTAGGGCTTCTCTTCCGCGTGGGTCTTCTCGTGGTTGAAGAGCGTCCCCGACTGCTTGAATGCTTTGCCACACGTGGCACACCTGTACGGCTTTTGGCCCGTGTGGACCCGCTTGTGGGCGAGGAAGACGGCCGAGTGAGCGAACGTCTTGCCGCACACGGTGCACGCGTATGGCTTCTTGCTTGTGTGGATCCTCTGGTGGTTGAGGAGGTGGTGTGACTGAGTGAAGTCCTCCCCGCAGACGTTGCAGCAGTAGGGCCTCTCACCCGCGTGGTTCCTCTCGTCCGGTGAGATGTCTCCTGGTGATGGGGTGAATGCCTTCCCGCTTCGCGCCTGCTTCATGTGCACGCTCTGATGGAAGCATAAGTCTCTCGAATTCACGAAAACTTCATTGCACACCGAGCACTTAAAGGAAGAATCCTCCCCCCCACATTCTACCTCCACCGCTGGCCACATCTCAGAGCTGGCGATCCCTCCGTGCTCCCGCTTCACGATCCGCAGTGTGGTGGAAGGTTCTTCACCGTCGCATTCCATCTTCACCCCCGGCCATGTCTCGAAGCTGAGGGTCTCTCTGTGTTCTGATGTTAGCGATGCCGAGGGGGTCACCGAGGGGATCGCCGCGGGACTCTCGCCCCCGAGGCTCGACATGACCTGCCCAGTGGCAGTCACGCCCCCTACCATCCCGCGGGTGCAGTGGCTGAGGAAGGGGGGACGGGCCGGCGACGTCGACACGCTTGAACCCACGCCGGCCTGCCGGCGCGCCCGGAGGCTCCCCGACGCGGAGGAGGCCTTCCCGCTCGTGGGGCACGCGAAGGGCCTCATGTGCACGCTCTGATGGGAGCAGAAGTCTCCCGAATTTGCGAAAACTTCACCGCACACCCAGCACTTGTAGGGCTTCTCGTCGGCGTGGCTCCTCTGGTGGCTGATCAGCGTGGCCGCTTCGTCCGTGCTGTACGGGCAGTGGGGGCACTGGTATAGCACGGACTCGGTCAGGCCCCTGTGCCGCTTCATGTGGTCCTCCAGGGCGGGCAGGCTGATCACCACCCAGTTGCAGATCGGGCAGTAGATCTTGATCTCTCCTCCCTCATTCACCGTTCCCGTCCTGGGACTGGGGCAAAGAGTGAGGCACACGAAGGAAAATGAATCTCCCTTGCCCCACCCCTGTGAAGTATCGCAAACAAGGCGTGAAGATTGAAACCACGGACACCGGTTGCTAACTGTAGAACAAAGGCAGTGGTCGTCGCTGCGTCGCGTGGCGCTTTCAGATGCTGCTGCTTGTGGCGGACGTCTGGAACGCTCTTCCTCTCCGGTATCAGGAAGCCATTGGGAGCTACGATGCACTTTTAAATCATCATCTAGATTCTAGATTGACAAACTAATTTCTTTAGAACTGCTGCTTGTTGTTGTGTTTAATTTGTTGTCCTTCCCCCGCACCTCCGATTAGCGCGGTTGGCTACTTGTTCTGTTGTTATTCTTGCTGCCTTGCCCAATCTTGATAAATCGAACTTAAACAATGAATTTCCATTTTGCAACTTTCCTACCTTTTGTTCTATTTTGCACTCCTATCGTTTGTTTGTGTGTATCGTGTTTGTGTGTATCGTGTTTGTGTGTATCGTGTTTTTGTGTATAGTGTGTTTGTGTGTATCGTGTGTTTGCCGTTGAAAATCACTGACTCCCCATGCCTATACTGGACATCTGTAGAAAAGAGATTAATAGCTCATCGGATTCCTCCTGCAGTCCAATAAAGATTCTGATTCTGACAGAGATGACTGGCAGATGCACCACCTGTGCCCCCTACTGTGCAAACTTGATGCTCTTAGTAGCCCAGCGCTCTGCTCGTTGTTTTGAGCGTCGCTCCTCTGCGTTACGTTGTTGCTGGAGGGCGACTGCCTCCAACTGCCCAGTAGCAGCGTCCTTCACGAGCCTCCTCCTCCACAGAGGCCGATCTTGACACCGCTGGTACCAGTCATCGTCAAGTCCACTCAGCTCCACATCCTCCCGTACCGCATCAGCGCCATCTCATCTCCAGCCCGTGCCGCGCCCGTTTAGCCCCCCTCGATCAATGCCGTGGCTGGGCATGCGGGCTACATGGCCCAGCCAAAGCAGCCTTGGAGGAGCTCGCCGATGATAGGGACCCTGTCCCGATCCTTCAAGGATTTGTGAGCTCCTCACACTGCGACTCAGACGACAGGTTAAACCCACGATGGATCGTGGGCATGGCCGGCCTGCAAGTTGTAAACCGGCGCAGACACAACAACAACAACCGCCATTCGCCACGAAGTGGCGGTGACGTCACCACGGCGCCTGTGCCAGGCTAGGTGCACTTTGAGGCCGTCACGTGAAGTGTCGAAAATTTTAAATATCCCCCGTGTAGCCTTACCAGACTGTAGGGACAAGTGCTGTTAGCGAGCACCTACGGAAGGCCAGAGCGGCACACGAGGGGGTGGGTGGCCAGCACCACGCCCGGCCGCCTTTGTCTCTCCCCCAGTGGCGATGTTTACCACACACACAGCACCAGGCACACATTTGAGGCTGAGTCGACCTAGGGGAGAACCAGGACCGGTTCAGATAATCGTCACTGGCGGTGTTGGCCGTGAGCGGGAATCGAACTCGGGTCGCCGGGTTCGTAGCGCTAACCGCTGCACCACCGCTCCCCACAGGAGCAAGCCCGCACACAAAGATAAAGATGCCCCAGGTAGCCTCACACAGGCTGCAGTCGCAAGTGCTGCTGTTAGTAGCGAGTAGCAGTACCTATGAAGGGGGTCGGTATCCAGCACCACGCCCGGCCGCCTTTGTCTCTCCCAACTTCACACCACAGAAACACGGAGACCTCGACTCTCTGTCTCCGTGCGTGACGTCACTCAGCCTCGTCCGTGCGTGACGTCACTCAAGTCGTCCACGCCCCCCCCTCGGGGAGTGGTAACATGACGTCACGCACGCACGCGCGAGCGACAACGTCAACCCCTTGTTAACCACAACCCCTGAAACCTCCCCCCGCCCCGCACCCCTCCCGCGCGCGACGTCACCCAGCCATCTTCGGGCGCGATGACGTCACGCGCGCGGTGGGGCTGCAAAGGAGTGACGTCATCCAGTCATAGTCGGATGCGATGACGTCACGCACTCGGTGGGGGTGCAAATGAGTGACGTCACCCGCAAGGCTCGCTGCGGTGAGCGGTGGTGAGGAACCACCTCTCCTCCTCATCATCACGGTGACTAGGAGATGTTGACTACCTCGCCTGGTGTGCAGGAGGTCGTGGGTTCGAACCCGGATCCTGACGATGCCTGCTGCTGCTGTATATTTGGAGTCTGCGTTTCTCTCTCTCATCATCACGGTGGCTATGAGATGTTAACTACCTCGCCTGGTCTACAGGAGGTCGTGGGTTCGAACCCGGATCCTGACGATGCCTGCTGCTGCTGTATATTTGGAGTTTGCGTTTCTCTCTCTCATCATCATCACGGTGGTTAGGAGATGTTAACTACCTCGCTTGGTGTGCAGGAGGTCGTGGGTTCGATCCTGACCCTGACGATGCCTGTTGCTGCTGTATATTTGGAGTCTGCGTTTCTCTCTCTCATCATCACGGTGGCTATGAGATGTTAACTACCTCGCCTGGTCTACAGGAGGTCGTGGGTTCGAACCCGGACCCTGACGATGCCTGCTGCTGCTGTAGATTTGGAGTCTGCGTTTCTCTCTCTCATCATCACGGTGGCTAGGAGATGTTGACTACCTCGCCTTTTCTACAGGAGGTCGTGGGTTCGATCCCAGACCCTGACGACGCCTGCTGCTGCTGTATATTTGGAGTCTGCGTCTCTCTCATCATCATCACGGTGGCTATGAGATGTTAACTACCTCGCCTGGTGTGCAGGAGGTCGTGGGTTCGATCCTGATCCTGACGATGCCTGCTGCTGCTGTATATTTGGAGTCTGCGTTTCTTTCTCTCATCATTGTCACGGTGGCTAGGAGATGTTGACTACCTCGCCTGGTGTGCAGGAGGTCGTGGGTTCGATCCCAGACCCTGACGACGCCTGCTGCTGCTGTATATTTGGAGTCTGCGTCTCTCTCATCATCATCACGGTGGCTAGGAGATGTTAACTACCTCGCCTTGTCTACAGGAGGTCGTGGGTTCGATCCCAGACCCTGACGATGCCTGCTGCTGCTGTAGATTTGGAGTCTGCGTCTCCCTCTCATCATCATCATCACGGTGGCCAGGAGATGTTGACTACCTCGCCTGGTATACAGGAGATCGTGGATTCGATCCCGACCCTGATGACGCCTACTACTGCTGCATATTTGGAGTCTGCGTCTCTCTCATTATCATCACGGTGGCTATGAGATGTTAACTACCTCGCCTGGTCTACAGGAGGTCGTGGGTTCGATCACCAACCCCGACGCCTGCTGCTGTATATTTGGAGTCTGCGTCTCTCATAATCACGGTGGCTAGGAGATGTTGACTACCTCGCCTGGTGTGCAGGAGGTCGTGGGCTCGAACCCAATGCTGACGATGCCTGCTGCTGTTGTGGATAAGTTGGTGGAGTTCCCACACCTCAATTGAAAACTAATTTCTTTAGAACTGATTTTTGTATTTGTTGTCCTTCACCCCTGTTCCGATTATCACGGTGGGCTACGTACGGCGCGAAAGAAGTTCAACATACATACATTGGACTGTCCACTACACAATAATATACACTACACAATAATATACACTACACTATACACTACACTATTATGCAATACAATACTATACACTTATATACATTACACTACGATACAGTACACTACTGTACACCACACCACTATACACCACTATACACTACACCACTACACACCACCACTACACACTACACCACTATACACGACACTACTACCCACTACACCACTATACACTACACTACTATACACTACACCACTATACACTACACTACTATACACTACACCACTACACGACTATACACGACACTACTACACACTACACAAATACACACTTCACCAATATACACCACCACTACGCTACATTGAGAATTCATTTCTCTCGAACTGATTGTTATTAGCTTGTTGTCCTTCCCCCGGCACCTCCGATTTAGTACGGTGGGCTACATACGGTGCAAAAGAAGTTCAGCACGCACACATAACAGCGGCGGATTGACAAGGCATCAACTCTCGCTCCCTCCGTGTGCGTCACTGTGTGCCCTGCGCCGAAACTCTCCGGTATTGCTGCATGGTATGTTATAGGAAGCGTCCGTGTTTTCTCCTCTAGGCTTCGTAGCTATCGGCGGTACTCTGCGCGAAGAATTGAAGTGGATTGACTGTCCCTTTGTGCCCTGGCGTCGAGGGAAAAATGAAAGAAGAAGGAGAGGAAGTGAAGCGGATCTGCTGCCCAGTCTGCAACTGGGTGGTGGTCAGCCTGCCCGCCCTGGAGGACCACATGAAGCGCCACAAGGGCCGGATCGAGCCCGTGATGTACCGGTGCCCCCACTGCCCGTACAGCACGGACAATCTCAACGTCCTGATCGCCCACCAGGCGACGCATGACGCGGGGGAGTCCCACAAGTGCGCCGAGTGCGGCAAGGTGTTCGTCGACGCAGATGTCTTCCGCGAGCACCGGGCGATGCACGACGAGGAGAAGCCCCACAAGTGCGCCGCGTGCGGAGAGGCGTTCGGCCGGGCGGAAGATCTTCGCGTGCACCAGAGGATCCACGGCGGGGCGCCGTACCGGTGCGGCGTTTGCGGGACGGAGTTCACCCGGCTGGATTGCCTCCGCAGCCACCAGAGGACCCACACGGGGGAGAAGCCCTACCGGTGCGACGAGTGCGGCGTAACGTTCGCGTGGTCGGCGAGCCTCCTCACGCACAAGAGGGGCCACGCGGGCGAGAAGCCCTACCGGTGCGACGAGTGCGGCGTGACGTTCGCCTGGTCCGCGAGCCTCCTGTCGCACAAGAGGATCCACACGGGGGAGAAGCTCTACCACTGCACCGTCTGCGGCATGGAGTTTTCCCGCTCGGACTACCTGCGCAGCCACCAGCGGACGCACACGGGCGAGAAGCCGTACAAGTGCGCCGAGTGCGGCGAGGCGTTCTCGCAATCGGGCGCCCTCCTGGGGCACAAGAGGATCCACACGGGCGAGAGGCCGTACAAGTGCGTCGAGTGCGGAAAGGCGTTCGCGCGGTCGTGGGCCCTCCTCGTGCACACGAGGACCCACGCGGAGGAGAAGCCGTACAAGTGCACCGTGTGTGAGAGGGCGTTCGGCCGGTCGGATCACCTGCGCAGCCACCAGAGGACGCACACGGGTGAGAGGCCGCACGCGTGCGGCGTGTGCGGCAAGGCCTTCGCCGAGCCGGTGGCCCTGCGCGTACACAACAGGGTCCACACGGGCGAGAGGCCGTGCGTGTGCGCTGTGTGCGGGAAGGCGTTCTCGTGCACGGGAGCCCTTCGCACGCACACCATGGTCCACACGGGCGAGAAGCCGTACAAGTGCGACCTGTGCGGGAAGGGGTTCCAGCGCTCGGGGGCGCTCAATAAGCACAGGAGGAGCCACGCGGAGGAAAAGGCCTAAAGGGGTGAAAATGCCTCTTTCAAAAGCACTCGCGATCCGGAGGCCCTGATGTAAACCAACCCAAACGACGATCTATAACATGTCGAAAAGTAACCTCTGACGCGCAATATTTGACCGGGAGACAAACATTTGACGTGAAAGCAAATGGGACCGGCTAAGCAATACTGTTGAGTACATATGTTGAACTTCTTTCGCACCGTGTATAGCCAACCGTGCTCATGGGAGGTGCGGGGGAAGGACGACAAACTAAAAGTACACAGCTCCAGTGGCTTCTTAATATCGGAAGAGCATTCCAGATGGCCGCAGAACCTAATAGCGAAGTGATAATCACAAAAACGAGGGATAAGGCTGAAGGAATATATAGTCAGAGAGACATAGAATGAGAATCATGGTAACGAACAAGATGAGTCGCTATATGCATCAAGAAATACAATTTAAGTACAGATACAAGTATACAATGTTCACGCAGTATCTTCCCATTCATCGGGACCTCAATTACTTTTTGCGTCGTCGCTTGAAGTCACGCCATAAGCCCTTTTTGACCCATGCGCTTAACCTTCAATGCGATTCAACCCCCGATGAAGCTTGGAGAGCGGAATGGAGTTCAAAAGAACTCGCAAACACCTTGTGAAAGACCCAATGCAGAAGATCCCTGGGGTTTGATCTTCCACGAAGCTCATGGTCCACCCTAAACCGCATCCATTGCACAAACCACGGCAGCAACAGATGCGGATACCTGATGCACAAATGTGAAATTAGAAACTCTCCAGTCTGTGACTGGTCATCCAGGAAAGGACCGTACAACGTATAACAACGACGCAATGCCTCGATCCACAAATACGAAGGACACATCATGGCGACACACTCCGCTGCTCCTGACCGTTATCGGTCTTGACCATCCGAATGTGAAATTGTAGTTGTTCTTCTGCATCTACATCAGGGACCGTGCGACGAGAAGAAAGAATAAGAAGACGCAGTATCTGTTAAAACAAAGCAGGGATTGAACTTGGCAATCTGGAAAACGTATGAAGTGGTTCAATCTTGATTTGAATCTTTCAAAACTGCAGGAATCCATACTTTTTGGTTCTTTCGGTAAAGTCACGTAGGTAGAAAAATAATAGATCACGACGTTTCGATCGCAACGCAAGCAATCGTCATCAGTTTTTTCTTGCTGTGGTTGTCCCACCTGATGACGATTGCTTGTGTTGCGATCGAAACGTCGTGATCTATTATTTTTCTACCTACGTGACTTTACCGAAAGAACTAAAGAGTATGAAGTGGTGTTCACCGCAGACGATGATGGGGTCAAGAAGGTCAGGGAACTTGGTTCGGAAAAGTTGTATATTACTCTCTGTACAGAAGGGATAAGTGAGAGTTGGAACCAGACCTTCGGTTAGCAGCCTGGAGCTCAAGAACGTGGGTCTAATAGTGAGCGGCAGTGCAGCGGTTAGCGCAAAGTGCTACGAATCCGATTCCCGCTCACGGCCAACATCGGTGATGATTACCTGAAAGAGTCCTGGGCTTCCCCTAGGTCGACTCGGCCTCAAATTAGTACCTGGTGCAGAGTGCCAGGTGGGTAAAGCGCAGCAAGGTGGTACAGTGGGGAGCACGGTTGGTGCATCTGCACCTAGCCTGGCACAGCAGTAAACCCACCTGGGTCCTGTGACCTGCCAGCAGCGAGAGACTTCCACACTTCACGTGGCCTCAAAGTGCACCTAGCCTGGCACAAGCACCGTGGTGACGTCACTGCCACTTAGTGGCGAATGGCTGCTGTTGTTGTGTGGAGCGGTAGCGCAGCGTTGAGTGCGCTGCGCTATGAACCCAGCAGAGATTACTCTTTGGTTCTTTCGGTAAAGTCACGTATAAAGAGAAAATAATAAATTAAATACAAGCATACTTAGCATACGTGACTTTACCGAAAGAACCAAAGAGTAATTCCTGCAGTCACGAAAGCTCAAAATTAAGTACCAGCACAGAGACCCCGAGTTCAAATTCCCACTCACGACCATCACCACCGCCACCAGTGACAGCGATTATCTGAACCGGTCCTGGGCCTCTCCTAGGTCGACTCGGCCGCCAATGAGTGTGTAGTAGTAAACATCGCCGCTGGGGAGACAAAGGTGGTCGAGGCGTGGTGCTGGCCACCCACCCCCAAATTCGTACTGTTCCGGCCTTCATAGGTGCTTCTTGCTAACAGCACTTGCCCCAATTGTCTATTAAGGCTATACGGGGGGTCTTTGACTTTGTTTTGGATGTCTCTTAATGGCGAATACGTAAATTGTAGAAGATGGTTTAGCCACCACGGTGGGAGGCGTTCGGGAGTTTGGGTGTAAACCACGGTGGCTATGAGATGTTAACTACATTGCCTGGTATACAGGCCGTGGATTTGATCTCGACCTTGACGCTTGCTGTATATTTGGAGTTTGCATGTTCTCCCTGTTGGTGCGTCGATTTTTTCTCCTGGTCCTCCGGTTTTTCCCTCCATATTTAGCATCGACATCGCGCGTTGAGAGTATTTGGCTGCTGTACATTTCCACATAATGATAAGCCACTTCGTTGAGCGATCATACACGTATATAATAGCCCAGATCTGTCCTTCTGTCATTATTTATTTCATTATGTGATTAACGCGCCACGGATTGGTTGAAGTGCGTCACGTGACCGCGCCCCCCCGGATTGGTTGAAGTGCGTCACATGACCGCGAGCTGCCCACTTCGTGTTGTGGTGCGCCCCGCACTTCGGAGGCCCGAGAAGCAGCAACATGACGGCCACAGCGCTGGAGATGTAGCCACAGAAAGCTGACGGTCGATCCACTCACACACGGCTCACTCATACACACAGCTCACTCACACTCACACACAATCGCATGCAGCTCAGAGGAGACGGGTGAGAGTGAGGCAGAGCCGTGCTCTGTCCACTGTTGCCCTGAGGGACCCCTGTGCTCTCCACTGCTGCCCTGAGGGAGAGCCGTGCTTGCTCCGCTGATGCCCTGAGGGAGAGCCATGCTCCGTCCACTGCTGCCCTGAGGGAGAGCCGTGCTCTGTCCATTACATTAGTACTCGAGTTTTTTTGGTGCTTAAATCCACTGCTGGATGAAGGCCCACCGGACGCTGTGCGAGTGGATCGTAAGGATTTACTTGACCAGTCTGTTGGGGGCCGCCGCAGGCTGTGGTTATTGGGGGGGCTCCGCAGGCTGTGGTTGTTGGGGGGCTCCGCAGGCTGTGGTTGTTTGGGACCGCTGTACGCTGTGGTTGTTGGGGGGCTCCGCAGGCTGTGGTTGTTTGGGGCCGCCGTACGCTGTGGCTGTTCGGGGACGCTACAGGCTGTGGTTGGCGCCCCCGCACAACCTAGTTTGTGATAGGTTGCTTCTGAAAAAGAGCTATTTCGTGCAGTGGGCCTTACCTCTGGTAAAATAAAAAAAATAGTACTAGTTGTATATGTGAAAAAGAGCTTCATCGCTCATTGGATTATTTTTCCTTACGATTCCGTTCCGATGATGGCAGTGTCCATCGTCAAAATGAAAACCGGCTGTGGAGGGGTCCCCGTTTAGCAGGCTTGTCAGAACTACACTTGCAGGCGGGGGGGGGGTACTGTGGCGGGCAAACACAGATGGCTCAGAGGCAGGGGTGGACTGCTAGAGGCGACAAAAGGCCCTGGCAGAGTCGGTGGAGCCTTGCGACGGGCAGATGCCCGCGGGCAGGCTTAGGCCGCCAGAGGCAACACATAGGCCTGGGCAGAACTCGTATAGAGTTGGGGTGGAACGGTTCATTTTTTGGGGATTACACCCATTCAATACTGGTGATGTGTAGGATTGACCTCGCACCCATTCAATGCTGGTGATGTGTAGGATTGACCTCGCACCCATTCAATGCTGGTGATGTGTAGGATTGACCACGCACCCATTCAATACTGGTGATGTGTAGGGTTTACCTTGCACCTATTCAATGCTCGTAGTCTGTTAGGGTTGACCTTGCACCTATTAAATAATCGTAGTCTGTTAGGGTTGACCTTGCACCTATTAAATGCGCGTAGTCTGTTAGGGTTGACCTCACACCCATTCAATGCTCGTGGTCTGTAGGGTTGACCTCGCACCCATTCAATACTCGTGGTCTGTAGGATTGACCTCGCGCCTATTAAATGCTCGTGGTCTGTAGGGTTGACCTCGCACCCATTCAATGCTCGTGGTCTGTAGGGTTGACCTCGCACCCATTCAACGCTCGTGGTTTGTAGGATTGACCTCGCACCCATTCAATGCTCGTGGTCTGTAGGATTGACCTCGCACCCATTCAATGCTAGTAGTCTGTAGGGTTGACCTGTAAAATACAGCTCTTTCAAAGAAAGCCAGTATTTGTTCTTTCCGCAATGCAGTTCTACATTCGCATTTGATCATTATGGCTATGCAGAGGAAGTACAAAGGCGAGTATGAACAGAGGCGTTCCATGCTTTGACAGCGGCAGTTTTTGGAACGCAGAATGGCTTTTTTCACCAAATATGTCCGCAATCGCTTGTCTAGAGCAGCGGTGGCCAACATGTAACAGACCAAGAGCCAGAGGTCGCAAACGGGTTTTGATTCCTTACCCGTACCCGGCCGCACCAGGGTCGCAAACGGGTACCCGTACCCGGCCGTACCCGTACCCTACCCGTACCCGGTCGGGTACGGGTAGGGTACGGGTATCGGGTACCTGATTGCGACCTCTGGGATGAAGCCATATTGCAGGCGTGGGTTGGTTGATTCTAGGAACTTGAATTGTGAGAAGAGACAAGACGTTGGGAAATGAGTGACAAACAGTTACCAGTGACTCACAGTCTACCCATACCCGGCCACACCAGGGTCGCAAACGGCTACCCGTACACGGCCGGGTATGGGTAGCCGGATATCAGGTAGGGTACGGGTATCGGGTACCCGGTTGCGACCTCTGCCAAGAGCCACAGAGTACCCGTGAGTTATGCAGAGCTAAGTGTGTATATATATAGTACAGTGGAACCTCGGTATA